GACCTTTCCCGGCAACTCTCCACCCTCATCGGGTTGATACTGCTGATACTCGGCATATTCAACCCAACGATTTTAGATTATAAACCTAAATCGCGAGGGATGTCTGATTTCCAATCCTTCAACGCGTTAACATAGCTTTATCTGCCTCGAAGCTTGACCATTTAGCGGAACTTAGATGATTCCCAATCTTGAAGCCTTCCTGTTGTCACGAACACATACACTCCTAGCATTTTCTAGTTATTTGCTGACCTCGTAGCCACGATGGCAACAAAAGCAGCAGCCAGCTGGGCTGTCAACCTGAAATACTCTGACCTTCCTCCCGAAGTCATCTCCACGGCTGTCCAATCCTTCTACAACTGGGTGGGCTGCACCATTGGCGGCAGCAACCATGCAGCCGTGAAGATCGCTTATGACGCCCTATCACCGTTCTTCGGCGCCTCATCAACATCCAAGCTCCTGGGCACCGACAAATTGATTGACGCTCAGCACGCAGCCCTCATCAACGGCATCGCGTCGCACGTGGATGACTATGATGACACACACCTAGAGAGCGCCATTCATCCCACGGGGCCTGTCGTCAGCGCCCTGCTAGCCATCTGCGAGCAGAAAGGCGGAATAGGTGGCAAAGAATTCATCCTAGCGCAAGTCGCCGGCGTCGAGGTCGCGTGTAAGGTCGGCTTGAGCGTACTGAGACAGCATTACGATGTTGGATGGCATATCACGAGCACCACCGGATCGATTGGGGCTGCGGTCGCGGTAGGGAAGGTGCTTGGTCTTAGTGTTCCTGCCATGCAGCACGCTATTGGCATTGCGGCCACGCAGGTCACCGGTCTGCGGGAGATGTTTGGGAGTCACACAAAGAGTTTTCATCCCGGTCGGGCGGCCCAAAATGGTCTGATGGCCGCACTGCTGGCGGCTCAAGGATACACGAGCAGCTTACAAGCACTGGAGGCTCAAAGGGGCTGGGCAAATGTGGTCAGCACCACAGTGAGCTTGGAGAAATGGATACCAACACTAGGTAAAGAGTGGGAGATGCTGAAGAACGCATTTAAACCGTTTCCATGCGGAGTCGTCATTCACCCAATTATTGACGGGTGCATCCAGTTGAAGGAGGAAACAGGGCTGGGAAGCAGAAAGTCGTTAGGGGATATTGAAAGAGTTGACTTGAAGGTGCATCCGTTGGTGCTGGAACTAACTGGCAAGACGACGCCGAGGGACAGTCTCGAAGCCAAATTCAGCGTGTTCCACGGCGCGGCCATCGGACTGGTGTATGGAGCGGGCACACCCAGTCAGTACGAAGACGAAATCGTCCAGAACCCAACTACGTCCCAGATGAGAGACAAGGTTAGGGCCGCAGTGGATGACTCGATGAACCTGGACGGATGCTCCGTCACGATACTGTGGAAGGATGGGACGAAGACGTACAAGCACGTTGAGCATTGTGTTGGCAGCTTGGACGTTCCAATGACGAATGAGCAGCTCGAAGCCAAGTTTTTGGACCAGACAGCCAAGGTCATAGGAGAGAGAGCCACCGTCGCCAGTAAGGCATGCTGGGGTCTGGAAACTGTCGAGGATATGAGGGATTTGGCCCAAATACTATAAAATTATCCGCGTATATGAAGGCGTAGGAGACATTATCTGACAGGTTATGATCTCAGGTGAACGGTAAGTTGGCCATAAGAGCACCCACACATACGAAGAAGAATGACCCTAGGCCAGGTTTTGAAATGCCAGCGTTTTCACCAGAACCCCTGACTAATATGTGTCTTTCTGCGCAAAGAGAGGAGAAGATTCCGATCGAAGTAGGTCCAGGACAGTCTCATCATTCATAATCGACGTTCGAGATTGCGCACGCAAAATTAAATGCAACACTAGTACCATCTTCATGGATAGAGATTGTTGCTGACGATTCTCCTGAAAATCTCTACCGAAGACTATCTCAAGAATGCTGATTGAACGGTATCCTAGTAGTTATTGTGAGCCAACCCTTATGATCAGAGTCAGGAGACGTATTTTATTACTACGAATATTCATATAGAAGTGGTTATCTAGGTCCCGGGTAGGTTTATAGGCGGGTAGACGGATCTCGTAATTATCCAGATGTCGCTAGCTCAATAATCCTATTCGTACAATGTAACGGAAAGTCTAACACATGCTATGGAGGCTTCAGGTCGCCGCTGTCTGTGGCGTATGTTGCAGATGAAAGTAAGGGATGGAGGGCACTTGGCGCGCATATGTGTGAAATCACATGCCTTCCTTTGTGTCACCACCTCATAGGCGCGTCCAGTTGTTTGGTGGTTGGCCGCAATCACTTTCTACTGGAATCAGCCTCACACAATACTTGCTACCTGCCCATCTCATCATCGCAAGAAATAGAGTCAGCAAAAGAAGGCTAGCTCTCATCATCATCAAGCACCATGGACACACACGATGTCTCAGACGTTCCACAATATGTCCAGCTCCTATCAAAGCAGCGAAAGAATCTCCAAGATGCCCAATCTCGCAAAGGACAGCGCCCGCAAGCAAGACGATCCCGAGAAGAAATCATGATGAAGTTCATGTTTAGTGTTATGATGAAGCAGGCTGGACCAAACCTTCAGTACAATATGAGGTCGTCATTCGTTCCCCCAGCCTATCCTCCCTGCATCAGCCCCTTCTCCGACCTCAAGAAAATCATGATCAAAGATCTTCTTCTTGAGACCCACCATAGAGGCACCTACCTTCTGGTGAGGTCGACTACCCCACCAGATAAAATGAATGCGATTATGACCATCGTGGAGGACGAGCTCAAGGACGTTGTCATGCTGCAGCTGTACTATCAAGAGGGGGATAATGACTGTGCGATCGAGGATATTGCTGGAGAAGGGATGATCCTGATTGTGCGAGAACCATACTTCAAGTTAATGTCTGATGGAGAGCATGGGGTCCGTGTCGACCATCTCTCCGATGTCATATACCTTCCAGTATATGATGAGAGAGTCCCGAATTGCTGGCAGACAAAAACTGCGGAGTTTATCACCTCAGCAGATGCTTGGAAGACTAAAGGAAATGATCACTTCAAAAAGTCCAAGTACAGAACTGCCATTGAATGGTAAGTCTTCATGAAAGATCTCCAGGGGCTCAAGCTCAGCAGTTCAACAGCTACACGAAAGCCCTCGATTGTTCCCCAGCCGCAGAAGAGGCTCAAACCATCAAACTCAACCGGTCTCTCGCCTTCCTGAAGGAAAAGCAGTTCGAGGCCGCTCTTGCCGATCTGGAATCCTTGCAATCTCCTCAACATGCCACCGAGAAAGCTCTGTACCGCAAAACCCTGTCTTTGTACAACCTCGGAAGATATCGAGAATGTTGTGAAGTTCTCAAAACTCTCCGTCTTAAGTATCCCGATAACGAAGCAGCCAAGGACAAATTCAGTCAAACCATCCACCGTCTTACAGAACAGGAGAGCGGCAGGTACAACTTCAAGCAGTTGCGCGCAGAGGCCGCCAAATTACGCCCGCCGCACCTGGATCATTCCACATATGTAGGTCCAGTATCCATCAGAAAATCGAATGGTCGGGGACGCGGCCTCTTCACCACAAAGGCAGTCAAGGCCGGCGAGCTACTGTTGTGCGAGAAAGCTTTCGCGCATGCCTTCGTCGATACTGAAAAGGCAGGGGGCTTGGAGAATGTGACCATTCTGGTAAACTCGGAAACCAGCTCCATGACTGTGGGAGCTCAATCAGAGCTCATCAACTTGATCGTCCAGAAGCTGTATCGGAACCCCTCTTTGGCAACAGTCATCACCAGCCTTCATCACGGCTCGTACACGCCTGTCAATGTTTCTGAGGTTGATGGCACGCCGGTGGTTGACACGTGAGAGACCCATTATTTCGTCGCTGGCTCAGAGGTGGTGCTGACTATCCCAGATTCCTCGTCGAGCGTATCATAAACCTGAACTGCTTCGGCTGTCCACTTTCGTCTCGCGAGTCACACCTGCGTACTATGGATGACAAGGCCGAACAAAAGGTCATCGCGAACGAGAAATTATTCCACTCTTGCGGTATCTGGCCTATGGCATCATACATAAACCATTGCTGTTACAGTAACGCCAGAAGGGCCTTCATCGGAGATATGATGATAGTTCGCGCCACGCGAGACCTCGCGCCTGACACCGAGATCACATTCTGGTACCACATGCCTGATCCTATCCGTTATGAGGAGCGACAGAAGAAATTCCGGCATTGGGATTTCAAATGTGACTGCATCATATGCCAGGACGACGAGACCACAAAGAAGAGTGTCTGGCAAAAGAGAAAGAGTCTGAGGGCTGATGCTCAGAAATATCTCAATTCTGGCAAAAAATCGGATGCAGCCCGGATTGAGACTATCCTCGTTGCAATCACTGCCACATATCCTCGACCCGCATCTGAAGCGCCTCGTCTGTGTGTATGGGATGTCCAGCTGGCTCTTGCAAAGATGTATCTCGACCATCAGCAAACAGTCAAAGCCGTCGAAGTGGGACTAAGATCTCTGGAATCTCTCGGTTATGTCATTGATGGTGGGAGACTGCCACGCACTGTGGGCACGCCCATGGCTGTGAAGCAGTGGGGGTTGATGGAGGACCGTCTCATCGAGTGCTGGATGCTTCTCTCTCGGGCTTACAGCTTGGTGGCGCCAGATCTCGAGAGCCAGGCGACTGGGTACGCCAGGACTTCGTACAAGATCTGCGTTGGGGAAGATGAGAGTTTTGACGAGACATACGGGAGGATTTTCAGGCAGCCGTAGTTGTCAAGACTGGTTCAATGCTTCACGATGGACATGGACGGTTGCATTAAACCTACACGTGGACTGTGATAGATTGGGGCAGTTACTGAGCGATGTGCCAGGAGGGACCTACTGGGCCTTTTGCCGCCTGGAGGCAATTCAGAGTCAGACGTGCTTTCAATGAAGCTGATCGTTCAGGTAGTTGAACCTCCCGGTTCGAGATCAAAGAAACAAGAGCCATGGCATCGATTTGGCCAGTCAAAAGCTACCGGATAATCACACATCTGTTGATAGTCCCACATGGCAGACAGCCTGCCATCGACGTCTGGAGACAAAAAAAAAAGCGCCAATTCAGAGCGCCAGAGAAGTTTCCGATTCTTGCGCTCATAAAATCCCTTCCTTCAAACTCTGGTCCCACGAATGTCCGTACACCCTGAAACAATAGCACGCCGCCGGGCCTTCAGAACTATTACCTAGTTTACACAACAAGTCGCCCGTGACTGCGTTGGTCTTTCCGGCTTTGGCGGTAAACAATACCCCGATGGAAGAACGCACCAAGCAGTGAGCCTTGAATGGTACAACAAAGACACCTAGACGTAACACTTGATGCAGCTTTCAATGTCGTTGAAGGTATCTTCGGGATTCTGATTGCAAGCGTTGCTTGCCACGTGCTGGCACAGAGCACTCGCGAAACGGAAGTCGGCCTCACAATCGGGGCATTGATACATCAAGCCGTCGTACAATTCGTTGACATATCCGCAATCTCTGATATAGCTATCAATGTCGTCCCTATCAATGCCACTCTCGCAGTTACCAGATTCGAGATGGATCATCATCGCAGAGAATTCGGAGAACAGGCGGTCGCAGCCAAGGCATTCGATCTCCAAAGGGAGGTGGCTTCGCTTGTGCTATCAATGGCGTTTCAGGTCAGTTCGTCCTCAACAGACTGCACACGTCGAAACTCGGACACGGACCTGCATCAGATCGTTGACTTTGCGGAAATACTTGCCGCAATCCATACACATGTTATGAACATCGACATCGTGGGATTCGAGTAGGGCTGCAGTGCTGAAATCCAAGTCACAGGGCGTGCAGATATTGTGACGGGGGGAGTTGTCCACATGGGCCTGGCGCGCCGCAGGCGAGACAAACAGCCACTGGCACCGCTCACACCACTCGCCTTGGTGGACTTCGGCATTACGGCAGTGATTCAAGAGGCCATTGATAAAGACGAATTGTCGATCACAGGGAATGCAGACGCAGGTAGCCCCTTCATTGAGAATTTGCAGCTGATTTTCTCTGACCATGGTGATGGCACACTTTTGACCTGGTGTCGCTGTCCCTAACAAGAGGACAGTGAGGTTGGAGTGAGAGCTATCCGCAAACGGGGGCTACATAGCACCTAGGCAACACTAGGTCGGTATTGGTGCGGAGCAGCTTGGCAGAGTGCAAACAATGCAAATACTGCAAACTCTTCAAACACTATAACCGCGAGCTGAGTGAAGTTACTTCCTCATTCGTCGTGAAAGAATATCTGATTTTGACAGCCTCGTTGCATGGATCCATGCGTAGCCTTGCCGGAGCTCGGATGCGGGGAAGTGCGCGGCTTACTTCATAGTCCATAGAGGGACCATGAAACGCACCGAGTCTCCAGCTTTTTAGGCGCAGGGAACATCTCCTCCATCCGCAAACTTCTCGAGCCATCTCAGCCCCAGAAAGACGTCATATACACAATTTGCGCTCGGAACTTTGCCCCCCAACTTCCTCTGAGAGAATAAATCTTCACGGATCTGACTTTGTCGTGGGAGTACTCGGTGGACAGCTCCCTCTCCCATCTCCCGTGATGGCTGCTCAAGTGCCAGCTGCATTGAAGACAGCCGACATTACCCGCTTCGCCCACCGCGCAGCCCAACTCGAGAAACCCAAGCCTATCATAGCATACTGGTGTATGCCTCCTACCCTCCTTCAGATCTCCAACGGTGATTAACCTGTTCCCAGGCGAATACTGGATTGTCAACCAAATCCTGTCCAAGGGCCTTCACAATGCAGACCAAGAGAGCTTGGTCTACACGACAACATTGATGGACAAGCTGGAGAAGGTGCGTCTTGAGCTACCGGGGTCATAAGCCTTGCTGATCTTCTGTCACAGTTCAAGTCTGAACATGCCCAAGAACCTGCGGTGACCGACGATATCGTGGGAAAAGCATACGTGGAACAGTTTGGTCTGGAAACATTTGAAAGGGCGGACAATGCGGTGCGCGCAAACAAGGCTTCAAGGCAGACGGCGGACACTTTCCAGGCTTCAGCCACCTTTCTCGACCTGCTCCAGATCTGGGGTGCTGTCGACCCCGAAATTGCCGCCAAAATCAAGTTCGCAAAGTATCATGCCTTGCGGATCGCGAAAGCGTTGAAAGCTGGGGAAGATCCAAATTTGTCCAACCCCAAACCGCAAACTCCGAGTGAGGAGGCTCTCCCTGCTCTGGACCCGGATGATGCAGAGGTGAGGGCGTTAGAAGGAGGTAGGGAAGTCACTAAACCAAGACAAGCCTCTGTTGTTGAAGTGCCCGACGAGGCCGACAAGATCCAGAGAAGCCTTGCACAGAAGTCACTGCTCGATGAATCCTTACATCCCTCCAGAGACACATCAATGCCACCTCCAGCCACCAAGCAACCTTCAGTCGCTGACGTTCCTGACGAGGCAGATCGTATCCAGAGCGAGCTTGCTCGTCAATCATCCATCGACCAGTCACTGCACCCATCGAGAGCGCCTTCTGTTCCACTGGGGAGCGACGTTTCTCCTTTACCGGAACAAGATCCTGCTTCATTCTACACCAATCGGGCCGATCCAGCTGATATCTCTCCACTGGAGCCTCCCTCTGAGCGGAAACCTTCAATAGGAGGTAACTATTTTCCTGTGGTACCATCGGCCCCAGCAGAGCCGGTTCTCCCATCGCCACCAGCAACGGTAGGCGGAGCTGCCCCAGACTTGCCCTCTGCACCTTCAGGCCTCGGAAATATCAACACAGATATCCCTCCAGCACCGTCAGAACCGTCTCTTACATCCGCGAGAAGCGAGCTCGGCGCCGCTCTCAATCACCCACCTCGTCACCAATCTCCTCCACTTCCCCCTCACCGCCACGGCACCCCCCTTCAACAAGCCCCGGTCGATCATACTGCCCAGATCCCTCCCAATTTCCAACCTCAAGTCCCACCTCCTCAGCTTCCCATCAATCCGCCACAAGTACGACACGCCCGTGGTCCTGTACCACCTATCCCTCATCAGCAACAAGCACCAAGTTCCATAGCAGCGCCGTCGCCGATCCATCCTACGCGAATGGCAGTAGTCCCACCTCCCCAATCTCAACCAGTCAGCGTTGAGGTCGATGAAGAGGCGATCTTGAAGGCGCAGAAGCATGCCAGGTGGGCGATTTCCGCCTTGAATTTCGAGGATGTGCCCACTGCAATTGAGGAGCTGAGGGGAGCATTGGCCTGCTTGGGCGGGATATGATTGCGAGACACCATGGAATCCACGTGTTGTTGCCTGATACATCCGCCATCGAACGTCCGCGGAGTTGGCAAAGCTAGATGTTCCATCCGCGGCCTATTGTGGAATGTACGTTTCCTTGAAAGCAACATGTGTTACTCACAAGAACACATGCTTTGGAATCCTCTGTGCTGCAGTCTCACGGGTTTCTCTTGCCCGGAAATGCTATGCCACGGCGCACCAGGCACGGTATTCGAATTGACATCGCGGTCATTGCCGGAAGTAGCTAAGTGGTCAACCATTGGGACCTGCATTGAACCAGATTCCTGACTCGAAACCATGCCGCATCCAACACCGAGCGGTCTTTGACTGGTGAACCTGCCCGTCACGAATCAGCTGAACAGGAAAGAAACTCCGAGGACGGCATGCCGTTGATTTTATACAGCGTAAAATTGCCGGTAGCGCTCACCTATACACTACCCCTGCCATGCCTTACTACAATACCTTGCCTTACCCTGCACTGTTTGCTTTTCTCAAACAGCCGTACCGCCGCTCGGAAGGACCGAGACAGCCGGCACACGGAACGAGTCTGAAGACGCAAGACACGCAATCGCCAGCAAGCAGAGAGACGCATGAAGGACTGCAGATTCCGATCATCGAGAGTCAGAAGTCTCTGGGAATGACAAAGGTCGCGAGAACAACGGCTTTTACAAGCGTGGGAGCACAGCCACCCTATTATGGGCGAGCAAGGTCGGGGGCGCGACGGAGTCAAAGTTCCTGGGCGAAATGGGGGAATATGGTCCTGGAACCGAAATGAATTGAAATGAAACTCGAGATGGGATGAAATAGTAGGAACGAGGATTCGCCCTCTTCGCAGTCCTATTCTACTTTTGCGCTCCTTTTTTTTTCTCTGGCCTTTCTTTCCCATGTTCTCTCTCCTCGTGATTCGTCAAAAACTCATCGCTTTGCCACTCAAGGCACGAATGTCCAATTACCTACAGCACCTAAGTACTGTAACTTCTGTCCCCTTCCTTGATTGATCAGATTCCGCTTTGAACTCGTGATGGGAGCAAGTTTGGTCTCAGCGGGTTTGTGGCGACCTCATTCCGTACGCATGACCAGACGGAGTTTGCGTTGCCCAACCTGCAAGTTCGGATTCAGAACGAAAAAAGGGTCGTGACGTTGATGGTATGTAACCGAGCAACTCGGTCGCTGAGGTTCAGTCAAACAAATCTCCTGCTCTCCTCCTCACCCGCTTTTCCCTGACCGGCTCGTCGAATAGCTCCTTTCCTTCGTTCCCCTTGCTGCTCCGACTGTACTGATTGGGAAACAACTCCTTGACTTCCAAAGCGCGGCCCTTGATACTCAGCCCTCCGGAGCCTTTGATGCTGAAACCTCCAGGACCTCCATTCTCGGATAATCCTTTGATGGATAGGCCGCCAGCATTGCCGCCACTTGACGGAAACAATTCAACTCCCGCATTTGACGCCCCATTCCTCATTGACTTGGTGCTGTCAATCGAAATACTCTTTCTAGCAAACCTCTCCGCGAGATTCTCTTCATTCTTGGCGTCCATGGCATGGCTTCTGCGGTGATTTGAGCGAGGGGAGGTTTGTGCGGCGGATATTAGATCAGCCTTCAGTCGCTTCGCTGCGGCGGTATTGGCACGATTTTGTGTGGCATCGACGGTCGGTCTAGGTGGTGCAGGAGCTTGATCGGTCGACATTGAGGTATCTGCATCCGTAGCTTTGTTGGGAAAGAGTTCCAGTCTATCAGATCGTAGACCACCACCGATCTTGGAGTCTGAGGTGGAAGATTCAAACAGTTCCTTTCCTGCGTTGGAGCGGAAGCGGTCACCGCGATCGCGATAGCCTCTCCGTCGAATCCGTCTATCATCGTCTGAATCTGAGATGTCGATATCATCGCTGCTACGTGTTCGCGCGCCTGGACTGGCGCTCCGTCGTCTCGTCTTTGTGACGCGCGAAAACAGATCTCGTCCTCTTGCTTTGTTGAGCTCTGTGTCCGTCGTGGGTGCATCATCGTACATGTTTGCCGAGAAGCCCCCGGCATCATCTCCGGTCGCACGGTCGTTGTCTCTCCTTCGTCTGTGGAGTTCGCGGTCGTCAAATCTTCTACGCCGGTAGTCACCACGACTGGTTTCGAACTCTCTTCGCATTCGCTCCGTGGGGTCTTGGTCGGGGTGCATGAGGTAGTATCTGCTTGCATCTCTAGCACCTTTCTTCTTCCTGTCACCTTGCTGAGCAACGCGAACCGCAAGCATACTTCCAGGCCTACTGGCCAATTGTTTCGCAGAGCGCAGTTCGAACGGGTTATCGGCCAATTCTTCGATCGTGATGGGATTGGCGAGGAACGCCAGCTGCGCTCGTTTCGCAGTGTCGCTGTCGTTGAAGCAAATGTTCGCCGAAGTATCGTCGATCCATTGGACATGTACGTTGTCGCCGACTTCACTAAAGTGGTCGTGTACAAAGGCAAGGATGTCGTTTGTGTGCATTTCGTCGACGCCGCGAATATGGATTTTGCTCCACTGCGGCTCGAGAGCGGGATCTTCGGTATAGATGGCCGGGATGAGGTTGGCGGAGTCGGTGGTAGCGGGCGCACCGGATGGGACAAATGAGGGTTCTTCGCCTTCCTGTATGGGTGATGAGTATGTGTATACGTCTTCCTGCTGGGTGAGGGAGATATGCGGGTGATCGTACTTCAAGTTCGAACTCATTATCAAGAGGTGGTCCCTGATCATCCATGTCCATGTCAATGTCGATATCCATCAGATCGGCGTCCTGCGCCGCCGTGGACATTGCCGATTGCATAGCTAGTGCCATTTTGTGAGTGGAGGAGGATGAGTTCATGGGGACTTCGGAGTGCCAGGATCAGGCTGCAGTCTGTTTGAAAGAGGAATTTGACTTCTGAAGAAAGGCTAAGAGTGATGGTACATGTTCGAAAGTGACAACGCGAGGCTGTTACGACCGAGGATTGTGAAAAAGCTGCTAGCCGAATAACTAGTTCAAATCAGCCGCGATCTGGCTGGTCAAGCAACGTAAATAGCGGAATGGGGATATGAAAGGTATTTGAGTCATATAATACAGATGGGGTCAAGGTCAGAGGAAGATGACGGCAAACAAAGAAAGGGTTGATATTACATGGTGGGAAATGCGAGGCTCGGAGCAGCTTCGAGCCTCGAAGTCTCAAGGCTCGATATCATTTCTTGGATAATCCCGATTCGGCATGAAGGTGCCGCTGTTTTAGTGCGAGTCTCCTCACCTGTGCAACTCCGCATTTCCCTCCCCGCCGAGCCGACTCCAAGAAATAAATTATTTCAGTCTGACGCCGCCCCAACGCAGTTGAATTATGTGACACTTCTCGGTTGTTTTCTCGTCAGACATACCGCTCGACTCCCCATCAGCTCCATTTCTTCTCGCTTCACAACGAAACAGTAATGGCAAACCTCGGATGATGCGTCCCTATATATATCCGGGCAAGGAAAGTTTGTTGTAAGGCTCTTAGATGAAGGGATCATACTCCCGGTCGCACCTTAGGTAAGACTCAGAAAGTCTGCTTCGATCCAGATCCCATGTCCCATGCTTGTTCGTCTTGATGATCTTGCTCCATGAATGCCATAAAAGCTTTGAGACTGGTCCCCTCCATTCGTCCTAATTTACGCAACGCCATTTCTCCTTCTGTGAGAATGTCGAGCAAGAGAGGGATCTCGATACAGCGGGTGGCCGGGTCCATAGGCGCTGAGATCCACGACGTCGATCTCTCTGCCCTCTCTGAAAACCCAGGCATTGTCAGGGAGATTCGGGAGGCCCTGTTACAATATCAAGTCATATTCTTCCGCAATCAAAGCTTGGAACCCAAAGAATACCTCGACTTCACGGCCCACTTTGGCAAACCGGTCGAATATCCCTTTGTCCGCGGCATTGACGGCTATCCCGAAATCATACAAGTCCTCAAACAAGAACATGAGACCATCAACTTTGGAGGTATCTGGCATTCGGACACCTCCTACTTCGAGAATCCACCTATGGGATCGGTTTTGATGGCCAAAGAGGTCCCGCCGTACGGTGGTGATACGTTATTCGCGAATCAATATGCCGCATATGAGTCCCTTTCCGAAGGACTCAAACAGACCCTCTCCACCTTGAAGGCAGTGAGCACCTCAGCAAAGGCCGACGCCAGCAAGACTCGCGAAGACCGCATCCGTGACTCCGGAAACGCCTCGGCCCAATCCTCGCTGGAGGCGGTTCACCCTGTTGTCCGGACACACCCTGAAACAGGAAGGAAGGCCCTCTACGTCAACGTCGCGCATACCTCCCACTTTGAGGGCTGGACAGAGGAGGAATCCGCCCCACTGCTGCAATACCTGTTTCAACACCAAGTTAAGCCAGAATTCACATGCCGGTTCCGTTGGGAAGTGGGTAGTATCGCCTTCTGGGACAATCGATGCGCACAGCATAACCCAATCAATGACTACCATGGATTTCGCCGGAGGATGTTGAGGATTACCTTGGAGGGAGATCGGCCTGTATGAAAGCTGTCAACGGAGGGCTTGAACATCGTTGGAAGACGCTGCGTCGCCCACTGTTATCAGGGAAGCCCATTAGATGGGTTAGCAGAGGATAGCCGTGGTTCGTGAATAGACTGAAGGATATATGACTGAAGCTCATTTGCAATCAAAATAAGTCTATTTCTCAATGATCCTGCAGAGCTTTCCGCTGCAGACCCGGCCTGCCGTGTCTGATGTCTGATGCTCACCAAGCACGCTCAATATGTAACTATCTCTACCTGGTCGTTGATTAAAATTCCATTTCCATGATATCGCTCCTTATGCTTTTGGTGCCCGTCATTTCGTTTGTCCTGGTTAAAGTAAAACACATGCAACGCAACCCGGCCTTCTTTCACACAGCACAAGCTCTCTGTGATGACCTTGACGCACCCGCCATGACGTTCGCTGCTGCAGAACCCGGTTCCCAATCATCATCACTGTCATCACTTCGGTCCTTTCGCTTGTGGTTGTGGCGGAGATGGACTGGTTCCTCGTTATCACTCATGATGGAATGATCCAATTCGTCTTCATCAGTGGAGCTTTCTGGAGAGCGTTGACGTCTGTTGTTGCGAGATTGCACCTTGAAAGAGGAGGCTCGGGCCGTCTTGCGTCGTCGGGACGCCAAGTAATAGGCCTTCCGTTTGGCTCTCTTGCCTTGCTTCGATGTTGCCAATGGCGCTTTCTTATTTCTTCGTTCGTCAAACCTCGAGCGAGCACGGCCGACGCGATTCCAGTAATTCTTGACTGCACTGTACCCAGTTCTTGTGACGCCGTCGTGGATCTGCATACGATGAAGAGCCTCCCGAAATCGTGCTTCCCCTACGAGTCGTCGCTCGCCGTTGATGTTGAGCATGTGGCGGATGCATGCCTCTTCTTCCCACAATGCCCACGATCGTCTTGGTGGCCTAAGGCGAGAGGAAGCGACGAGATGCGCAGGGGCGGGGTACGGCATCAGCTGCTCTTCCTGCTCCTCTTCACCGCCGTCATCATCGCCTCCAGCTTCATCGGTGCTGTTGTTGGAGCCGGGTGAGTGGGTGTTGCTGCTCGAGGTCGAGCTAGGACCAGCCTGAGAAGATTCCTCATTGGAGGTGGCGTTGTCATCGTCTCCACCGTCGCTGTCATCGTTGCTCTCCCAACTGTGGTTGCCACCGTTGCTGTCACTCTCTCTGCCATTGTCACTGTCGTCACCCTGCTCATCATCGTCTTCATCTCTGTCTCCGTCGTCTTGACCCTGGTACACACACATGCTGCCCTCTTCATCGACAGGCTGCCCATCATCCACAGCATGTCGCAATGCGGAGCCTTGTATGTCACCGTCTGCTTCTTCGAGAAACGCTTCACCGGCAGTTGGGGTGGTCGCATTCACGAAGGCGGGTACGCCGTGTGGATTTTCGTTTTGCGCGATAGCCCTGCTGAAGTACTCCGACAAGACAGCACGCTCTCCCAAGTACCTGGACAGGGCGTCTGGATGAGCATCGAGATAGTCGAAAACCTCGTTGTCGTTAAGAGGGAGGATCTGGACCACTGGGCGGGTGGTACTCGCTACAGCGTCCAAGAAATGGGACTCGTTCACGTCGGTGAAGGACATCTTGAAGGCTGATTGCTAGAGAGACGAGAAAGACAAGAAACAAAGATGCAAGGAGCTCATGGTCGGAATATATAAATATATATAGGCTGCAGACCTTCTGAAAGAGTCATCTTGAGGGTATATATACCATATTGCGGTCAATCGGCCGCATTGAGTCCATTCAAGGATAGTGATGGGCTGAGCAAAGGCCTGTAGTTTCAATAGGAGCAATGTGACATTCAGTATGTCGGCCTGAGGTATTTTTGACAATAGAAATGAATGAATGCAAGCGGATCGAACGTTGTCAATGTCCTGCCGGACCCAGCTATCCGCGCTTGAGACATTTGATCAATAACAGAAGTCGGTATTGAAGAGGGACAAGGCTGACCGCCAAGGCTCAATACCTGGTGATTGATGTCGAACACATCTCCCTGCGGTAGATACCATGATTGACTTGGCTTTAAATGCATTGTCACTGCAAAAGGACTTTGTTTCCTAGCCTTGCTGCCCTGTGCCATGTCTGACCACAGTGCTTTCACTTGTACGTAGACGCGGCGGTGAATGCTAGAGTGAAGAGCCTAGGAATTAACGCGGCTGATGGACCGCGCATGTGCCAGACATGGAGGTAAATGAAGATGTTAACCAGTCGCATGTGAAGACGTCTAGAAGCAAGACAGTACAGAGCAGAACTGGATAAAATCGAGGTTCGACAATACTGCAACTTGGCTTCGTGCAGTCCACCGTGTATATATCGCTGCTCTACGGTGGAGTTTCTATTCACGGCTGTCAATCTCCCGCACCGCTCAACTGGGCTAACGCGCTGCTTCCTTCGTTCATGCATGCGCAAAGTCAACCAAGCTAGCCATGCCATGGCCCAAGCTGTGGTCATCCTCGACAAAGGATGAACCTGAGAACCAGAAGTCCCTCGCTGAGAAAGCCACAGATTCGTCGGGCTCCGGCGCAGCTGGACCCATTCGGCAACAACCTGCCAAATCCGTCTCTTCGCAATGGAGAGTCTTCACTCAACCCGAAACGATCCTTGCTGCAGCTGTACTGACGACAGCATCCGTCGGCGCCTACAAATTCTACAAGTCTTATCTCCGCAGAATACCACAAGCGATCAACATCAGTCCCGGGTTCCTTCGCCGAAGGAGCATTGTAGGTCAAGTCACGAGCGTGGGAGATGGAGATAACTTCCGAATGTATCATACCCCTGGGGGAAGACTGGCTGGTTGGGGCTGGTTCCCAGGGCGGAAAGTGCCGGCGAACAAGAAGGATTTGAAGGACCAAACGGTACATCGTTGTAGGTCACAAACTCGAGACACTGGGAACTGACGAGGGGACCAGATACACGTCCGTCTTGCAGGGATCGACGCCCCCGAACTTGCTCATTTTGGACGCCCTGCACAACCTTATGCGCAAGAGGCGCTTGATTGGCTCACTGCATACATCATGGGTAGGCGCGTTCGGACCTATGTCTACAAGGCAGACCAGTACAGCAGAGTGGTGGGCACTGTCTACGTGTGGAAAGGCCTCGTGCGGCGCGACGTCAGCCTCCAAATGCTTCGAGCTGGGTTTGCTACGATCTACGAAGCGAAGTCGGGTGTTGAGTTTGGTAGGGCAAAGGAAGAGAGGTACAGAAGGGCGGAATGGTGGGCGAAGACCAGGAGAAAAGGCATGTGGGCTGGGGACAGGAAAAACTACGAAAGTCCACGAGAGTACAAGACGCGGTATGGCGTTGGAGCTCCTCAAGATGACACGAAACAATGATAAGAGGACGAAACTGTGTCTGGCTTGGAGCGCGGCGCTTGGGCTTGGGATGTGTATCAACATGTTCAGAAACAATCTGTGGCAGTCAACCCGGCCTCGCTTTTGCTTGCGCCTCCCATAGCCTGTCTGTTTTGTAAGGCTGAGATGGCATCACGTGACAGAGCCTGGTTGATCTCGGCCTTGAACCTGTCCTCAATCTTTCCTTCATTTTGTCATCAAGACTCTCGCCAGAAATGCCCGCCACAGACTCACCACCAGTCATTGTAGCCCGCTTCCTGAAAGCAAACCATTACAACAAGGTTCGTCATGATTGCAGAAAGCCTCGCGTACAGAAGTGATTGTCTAAGCCGGTGACTCCAGACTCTCGAAGCATTCCTCGCCGAAGCAGGACTCCCCGAGGAAGCGGCCATTACTAATCCTGGCGACTGGACGATAGAGAAAATCCTCGAAGAGAAGAAGCAGTACGATTCCAGTCTCGCCTTCGAGAAGAAAGGCGACGAAGCCGATGTCGGTTGGATAACACCAGCTCCGTCCAAGGCGGTTGAGCCGGAGGGGTTCCCTGTCACGTCAAACGTCCTCTGCGTGAGCGGGTCGAGCAGCAGAGACAATGAGGACGGGGTTGTCTTCGTCACTGCCGCGGACCGCTCATGGTCCAATGTCTCGACTACACCGCCATTTGCGCTGGCCGGCTCGATTGATAATGCCCACGGAAGCCCGATCCTGTCCATCAGCTCTCTGGACGAAGGGTATATCTTCTCGACCTCCATGTCGGGACAGCTGATGTTACATGATTCGCGGGGTCGATTGCTCGACAAAGTACGCGACCATCTCAAATATGCTGTGCAGGTGGTTTCGGGATATACTCATCAGGGCCGATGGATCGTGGCGACAGCAGGGTGGGATCAGAAAGTCCACATCTACGCTCCTGAACATGAGCTCGCGGGGAACTTCCAACCAAGCACGACGTCGGACATTGCTGCCGACGAACCTTTCATTCACGGACTGCTTCGCGACCCGATCCACACCATCACAATGCCCACGAACCCGGAATCTATGGTCCTGGTTCGAAATCCAGATACTCACGATCTCTACCTGATCCTATCCCGGCGCGACTCTACGTTCCTTTACTACTACTGCATCACACCCACGTCCGATGAATCTTCTTCCTCCCGGAGCAGCGAAGTCACATACTCGGTTCAAGAGACTGGCAGGCAGAATCTCGCGCCGCACTCCAACGCTTGGATCGCATTCACCCCTTCGTGTCTTGCTGTGTGCCCAGCGGATCCTTCCCTGTTGGCCGTTGCAACGTCTCATCTTCCACACATGAAGCTTCTCATTGTCCGGCTCCTCTTCCCCACGTCGACCTACAACTCTACCAATTCCATCGCCTTGGACAGCGAATCCGAACCGCAAACCCAAGCCTCGCAAGCCCGCGCCGCCCTCGCGCTGCAAGACCGCGAAGACGCCGCGATAAAACTGCACGTGACAACCATGGCTCCACAAACCCCTTACTCTACGCCGCAGGTCGTTTGGCGACCTGGCGGGAAAGGCGTGTTTGTGAACGCGGACGACGGGGTCATCCGCGGTTTGGACACACATAGCGGGAAGGTCGTGACTGTGCTCAAAGGACATGAGGTCGGGAGTAAAGTGCGGACCTTGTGGGCGGGATGGGAGGCTGCTGAGCCTGGCACGTCCGGGTATGGCAAGGAGAAGAAGGAGATCCTTGTCAGTGGTGGATTTGACAAGAAGGTGTTCTTCTGGAGGGTCCACGCTGCTTAGATGGGTGTTTCTGACCAAGAGCAAGACACGATAAGACGGCGGAGTTGTTGCATATTTCTAAAGAATTAGAAAGGAATTCGATACATGGTAGACAGCTTCTTGGCCTTGCCTTCAGGTCCAGATCGGCGTTCTACTCTTCTGTATTCTTTGACCTGCTTGACATTTGCAGTTAACTGTTCCAGTGGCAGAATGCGAAAGTGTCGGCAGGGCAAGCAATCTGTGGCTTCGGATTTTCCCTGGTGCCGTGTCACATCTTCTTACCTCCCAACCCCCCTTCCGGGTCCAGAATGTGCTCCATGCCCTGAACCCAACTCGAGTTTACCCCCAAACTTTGACATTGCTCTATCGTCTTGCAGTGTAACTGCGTCCGGTAAATATGCCTGGAACGCAGTGTCCTTCACACAGCATATTCCATGGGTTCACGCACTAAGAGGGCTCAATAGGCTCCCCTGAGTAGCTCGCTGTCCGAGAGTTCGCTGGGTGGACAAGCTCGAGGAATACCTCCTCAAGTCGCAAGGTCTACACCCCTGTCTGAACAGGAACACTCGCTCGAACACAATAATAAACGCTGGCCAGTCATCGACATTTCATAGGCATGACTGGAGTTTCGTGCTGGTCAGTCCCTTGCGATGAGCCGGTATGCTGCACTGCAAAGGATGATAAGGTCTGCAAACGGGGACAAAACATACTCGGGCCCGAGCATTGGGAAATTGTACGGCCTAAAGCGAATCGTGAAAAAGACTGGTAGAGACTGGATGGTTTGATTAGTCTTCTAGAGAATTTTCTAATCGACGCCGCGAGCGAAGAATCCTCGTTGCGAGGATTTATTTGCCGGCACTTCGGTGACTTCGTGGGCCGTCTGAAGAGCGAGCCGCGGGGCTCCGGCGACGGAGCTCAAAGACCACGGTGCCCCTTTTCCAGTGAACCACCTCTCAGCCGAATTGTCTTCCGTGTCCGTTGAATGTGGTCAATGTCTCTAGATGGTTGGGGGAGGAAAAATTGCGCGGAGCATCGCGGCATCCATGGCTGTCCGTGAGCCGCGTCCAGGGAAAGGTGATCTTCGACCACCGGCGACGAAAGTTGGTATTTCACTCAGAGAGGTCCAATCTCGCCACCGCCCACGACGAGTACAAGGTCTGACAGTAGCATCAAGTAGCTTAATCGATAGAGCCAAGTCTTGGAAGAAGATATGAAGGTGGTCACCTGGGTGATGTTGACGCGCGTCGGGTGGAGGAGTCTGACCGGCCGATAGTGCTGTCATTTGTGTCATTTGTGTCATTTGAAACTAAGCCTCGGCCATTCCCCAGGGGCACTGCCGTCCAGGCACATGCAAGGATATCCCCAGTGGGCGCATACCACTCCTTCATTCTTCTTGTCTCTCGCAAGTGCCTGAGTGCGGCATCGAGGTGGTCTATCGCTCCTTTCTCAGATTCCTTTGTTGGCTCCAGTATGGATACCGTCGAGGGTGAATTCACCACCAGGGATGGCACGAAGCTCTATACCAAAACATGGAAGGTACGGACCCAGCCGGAAGCGCCGCTCTATCACGAATCAACCAACTCATCTCGATGTGTTGTTGATGGATGCTCCTGCAGAACCTCTCTGACGCTTGCCTCTGGCCAAATCTAGCCCCGAAGCGACGCTGTACAGGCTGTTTTGATCTTCCTCCATGGATTCTCCGATCATATCAATGGTATAGAGGCCCCGTGACGCATGCAGCTTACTGAGAGACTTACATCTTCTAGCCTACTACGATCTCTTCCCCACTCTGAGCTCGTCGCCCTTCAGCATTGCCGTCTACGGGTTTGACCAACGGGGTTGGGGTCGATCATGTCGTAAGCCTGCAGACAATGGCAACACCGGCCCAACAATAGTGGTACTATCTGATCTCCACGACTTTGTTCTCCATGTGGCATCACTACCGGAAACCCAAGGCAAGCCATTCTTCCTGATGGGCCACAGCATGGGTGGAGGCGAGGCTCTGTGCTACATGCTTTCCACTTCCACGGACTTTTCCAATCGACCCGCGTTCTCGGGGCTGCTTCTTGAGGCGCCTTATGTTGAAATACATGCGTCAAACCAACCATCTTTCTTGAAAGTTCAGGCGGGCAAGTTAGCTGCCATGCTTCTGCCACACACGCAGCTCAAACAAAAACTAAGCGCAACATATATGTCCCGATCAGAGAAGGTCTGTAAAGACTGGGTGGAGGATCCGCTGTGCCACGACACTGGCACACTCGAAGGGCTCAAAGGACTCTTGCAAAGAGAGTCCGAACTCTCGCATCTCTCTCATGGCCGCACCGTACACGGCTATACGACCAAAGCCCCTTGCCCGCTATGGTTCTCTTTCGGCACCGGCGACCGGATCTTGTCGTATATCGCTGCGCAACAACTCTTCAACGTCTTGGAAGCGCCCAACAAGGACAAAACGTTCAAGGCATATCCTGAGGCATATCACAAGCTCCACGCTGAGCCCGATGGAGTAGGCGAGCAATTTGCGAAAGATGTGGGAGAATGGGTCCTAGCACATGTCAACAAACAGGCTGAAGTCGCTCAGGTTGGTCAATCACAGTCCGAACAGACGGCAGACGGTGGCTCATAGATCACAGAAGGCCAAGCTATGATAGAGACCACGCCGAGGAGGTGCTCATCCGACCACAAGACTGGGGTGCAAGGTTCTCAATTCGGCTTGGGAGGGTGTGCCGCCTTGCGAACCTCACAAGGCTGGTTCCTGCAGCTGACATGGGCACATGGGAACCAATGGGCGCATGATTTGCACGGTGATGACGTCTAGATTACATAAGAATGCGCCTTTCCATATTTGTACTAGCGTTTTGTTGTATTTACCTCCTTGCCTACCGCAAGATTGTCAAACCTGCATTCACCCAAACATCCTCATTGTCCAGGTCCATAGTCTCTAAAGCCACTTGCCGTCTACATTATTAGCAATGTCCCGATACACCGTCTTCAAGTTTCGGCGAACTGCATCGCGGACGTGTCCATCTCAAAGAAAGCCCCGCGACACCTCCAGCCTTGGCTGACTTGCTTGTTACACCGGCCACCTGACCCCATAACCAGTCGGCTGAGACATTCAAACGCTCTACTATTGTGTCTTGAGACCCTGACAAAGAAGATGTTGGATGTTGAATATACATCACAATGCCCATCCAGAATGCCCATGCGGCTTGCCAAAGGATGACCCTCCCAGCAGGTAGGCGAACAGGTAATTCAGCGATCATGGGGAATTGGTGTTTGCCTTGTCTCAGAAATTCCTTTATACTCCCTGCTCCAGCCCGCAGAGTTGGCAAACCGTAAGTGTTTGTGCTTGAGTCCTTTGTCGTTTTGCTTTGGCCCTCTACAGTCAGAGTCTCCTGCCTTTAAAGCAAATGCTCGTTCGCAAACATGGATTCTCCCCACCGTGATTGTCATTGCCCGCACTGTTCCACCGGTTCCAGCAAACGCACCCAAAGCCAACAACCAGTGCCTCATCCAGGGGAACAAACGGTCAAGGTCCTCAAATTCTCCGCCCGCGACGTCTTCCCTGTCATCAGAGTCTTGGATGCTCCTGTGCGTCTCGCGTCCAGAATGGCCAAGAGCATGAATCCATTTCCCATCCGCCTCGAGAGGAATGTTGCCGCCCCGCCGTATGAGAGAGGGTGGACCTACGTCGAGCGCAGAAACGGTCAGCTCTGTGTGGTGAGAAATCGGAAGGACGTCTTTCGCCTCCATCGGCCGTCGAAGAAGAAGAGAGCCCCGCCACCTCCGAGAGACACGGGGCGAGAACCAGAGAGACACGTGATTATTGTACACGACGAGGATTTGGATGTCATCAATCGCCATCACCGTGTCCGTCCGGAAGGAGACAGGCTGTTCGTGGAGGTAATTCAGGAAAGAGATGGGCGAGGAGACCCGGGCGACCACGGCAATTCAGCCGCTCGACCGCGCCCGAGAATCGAGGTCCGCAGACCTCTCAACGCGACACCGCCCTCGTCTCCAATCTTCGAAGCGCACCACGGCGAATCTTTCCCCTTTCGAATCGTGCACAAAATTCCCGTGGACCGAGCTCGCCTTCGTCGTGTCAGGCCTGTCCAAGTCATCCACGACCCTCTCCAATGTCCTCCGCCCAACGATGCCAATGACGACGACTGCTACGAGGAACTCTTCGATCCGGTCGACCTACCCGCCCGGGAGCCCCGACCCTATCACATCCCGGAACCCGAGAACTCTGTGTGGGATGAGGGCATGAATGCATGGGTTGTCCGACGCTCGCCGAAAGTGAGATTTTCCTGAGGTCGCAAGGACGGCAGAGCCAATCGACTGGTGGAGGATACCCAGGATCTGAGATGGGCGCGAACTCTGTATTGCACTACTTACCCCAGGCGTCGACCCAACAGCCGGACTTTCGACGTGGAAAGAGAAATCAAACACCCCCTTTGTTCGATTCGCATGCTGCATTGTTTATTCTTCCATAGAAGACAATTAATTGCCTTCCCTCACTGACGCTAGCACCAGTCGACTGAACAAATGGGTGAAACTTCACAGCAATTCTTCGCATGTCCAGTCTTCATACCTTTCGCAGGGTCAGCGTCGCGTATCCTGACAGTATTGTTTCAAACGACTCACCATCCGTCAGGCAAATAACGGCGGACAATGAGAGGAATCTTTTTCTGATTCAATTCCTTGATCGCGATTTGCAGTGGATCCGTCTCGCCCTCTAAATCAACCAGGACAGGAGCGTTCATGCTGTCTGGCAGTTAGTCGCCTCCATCGCGACATTATCTCACAGAATGCCCCAGCTATTTACCTGATCTGCAGCGCCCTAGTACCAAGCACTCTTGCACGCTCATATTTCGTCATGTATGGAGTAGTGGTTCTTTTGTCATCAGGAATCTTTTTATCGGCGTCGCTAGAAGGTTTCTGGACGTTTTGATTGGGATCGGCCGACACAACGGTCCTCTCGTCGCCCTCTTCCTCCCGAGCCCGAGCCTCGATGGCTTCCACGTCGACTTCCGCATCTGGAGGCAGTTCGTCTTCAACATTCTCCTCAGGTTCGTAGAAGGTATCGTCAGGCTCATCTCGGCCGTACCTGTATTTGAAAACAAATGTGTTAGAGGCAACGAGTAAAGGGCGCTGGTGGAATGAAACCGCGCAAAGTCGCTTACCCGCCGTCGTCACCGTAGTCCGACATTCTCAGAACACAACGCGAAGAGACACAGTGAGACAGATCCACTCAATAATCATAGTATTCAAAGAGGGGTGATTGATAGAGTAAGATTGGTGCTGTGCATTGCACTTTGCGCGCAGAAAATAAAAAAGTTTTGGATGTCGCAGCCTTGTCCCGCTGCTCCACGTGACAGCCCTTGGCGCGCCCCACAACAACCTCCAGCCTCGCAGAAAAGAATTCCACTGTTGGCGACCCCACACTCTCCCATTCGTTACCGGCATTGTCTCAAGCCCCTCGTAATTTTCGTCGCGGCCACGTATTTCCAAGATTTTGACGGAAGGCAACCAGGGCGCGGGTGCGCGAAGCCGTCGCTAAGATGCGGGTCGAGTCCGACAACGACAGTCTTGACAAGGACTATGACATGCTCGACTCCGACATTGACGACGACGAGGACGATTTTGAAGAGCAGGTTGACGACACACCAGCTTCAACTCCCCCGTCCGGAACACTTCCTCGCTGTCGCCAGAAAACGCTAAAATGCCCTTACGAGAACTGCGACAAAGCTTTCGATCGCAGAGTAAGGCTCGAGGAACACGTCCGTTCCCACACAAACGAACGTCCCTTCCAATGCCCGCATCCTCCCTGCACGAAAGCTTTCTTCCGCGACAGCCACCTGAAACACCACGTGAAAAGTCAACATAGCAACATCAGGGACTACCATTGCACATGGGAAGGATGCGCCTCAAGCTTCACAACGGGGACAAGACTGCGGCGTCACCTTGAGACACATGAAGCAAAGGAGAGGTTCAGATGCCGTGGGTATCCTGGATGCGACCAGACTTTCCGCAAACAAGAGACTCTGGACCGGCACATATTGTCTGTCCATCACAACATCAAACCTTTTCCTTGCAAAGAGCTGGATTCAGTAACTGGTGCTCCATGCAAAAAGGCCTACGACACAGCCGAGAACCTGCGTTGCCATGTGCGAGCCAAGCATGATACCTCCCGGTTTTCGTGCTCTGACTGCATGGCACAGAATGCCGCCATTCTTGCCGACCCCGAGGATGAGAGGGAAGTTATTCAGGCATCTTTTGCAACCTATGGAGAGCTTCAGGCCCACCTCGCCATTGTCCACCCTCCAACCTGCCAGTATTGCCCGACGTCATTCACCACCAACAAGGAGTTGACGCGGCATCTCGAAATCCAACATGGCATTCTGCCCGAGAAAAAATCAAAAGATGTGGTCGTCTTCACGTGCACTGTCGGAGGGTGCGGCAAGAAGTTCACCAAAAAGGGAAACCTGAATGTCCACATCAAAACAGTTCACGAGAACAAGCGGGATTTTGTGTGCGGCAAGACCGAGATTGCACTTCCCGAAGAAGTCGCCGACCAGCAAGATGTGGTCATTCATGGCTGCAACCGCAGCTTCACCAGCAAAGCCAGTCTCGAAGAGCACGTTCGTACCGCGCATCTGGGGCTGGAATCAAAGCGAATGCTTCGAGAGAAGAAGCGAAAGGCCGACCGTCGCAGTGATGATGAGCATGCAGGCGACAGCGGTGCTGGAGGTGGGCGGCTTAAGAAGCAGCGCCGACCCCGCTCCGACAAGGGCGTCAGGCGGACATCTGCTATGGCTGGTCTAACTGGTGTCGCTGCTGCTCCTGCGGACTCCGTCGCTGGTACGTCGCAGCAAGAGCAGGTTCAACATGGGTTTGTGGATATCCATCCGAAGAGGAGGGACGAAGATGCCGACCTCTCAAACAAGGGCACTCTCCTCTCCGGCTCCATGGTCATCTGTGACGACCACATCTGGCACAACGGCACATCTTACCATTATCCGTCCGGGGAATACCCAACTCTTCTCTCGAGAGATTTTGCCCGGGCGAGCGTTCACGATGACGCTCCGATTGGCGACTTTGTCCATGACGAATGCATGGGTGCGGAGGGTGCCTATGACGAAAGCGATCTGCACTTCTTTGGTGAGTTTGAGCCCGAGACGGAACTTGTGCCGCGCGGATTTGAGTATCCTGCGCCGTGAATCCTGCACATCTTTCACACGTACATAGATTGGAATGCACAGCATTGGCGTTTCCAGGGGATTGTTGCATGTGGGAATCAGCACTGGACCAATCCACCCGGTCCACAGAAAAAGTTCTTGATCGAGCATGGCGTTGGGGAGGGGAACAGATGATCAAAAGCGATGAGGAAAACGGGACGGAAAAGCGAGCTTGACATGGAAACGAGAATCAAATGAACAATGGAATCCGAATGTTTGACGCACTGCCATGAATCCCCGCCTGCGATTCTCTGATAATATCCCCGTTTCTATTTTATTATCTCGGTGAATCTGCATGGCGCACTGTGCTGTGATGTTCCCCGTCGCATACTGCGGCATTAGAGTCTCCACCCTTTCCTGTATATGTGTAGCATGTGGCTATGACATGGCCGACCTGATATGTAATGGGCATTCTGTAGACCCGGCGAAGATGTTTGGTCGTACCTGTATTCCTCGCTTTGCCGGTTTTGTACCATCAGTGCGTCTCGAGATGGACATCTTATGAAAACGAGATGACGGGCAACAAGGGGCACGCGGTCCTCTAGCGAGACGCAGATTGAAGTACAGTGACGGAGGAGGATCGAGTGCTGGCAAGGCTGTCGATGTGAGGCGAGGGCGTGTTGATGAGGCAGCCTCGTCGCCACTAGCTGGAGTCTCCCCCGCCATCTCCGCCTTTCTCCCAAACATTCTTCGTTCACGACCTCCTGCTGGATGTGTGTAACGGAGGATTTTATATATTTTCTGCCCGGTCTCTCCGAGCAAGCATAAATCATATTCACTGACTAACTAAGTCACTGGGGGAAAACCACCCTTACATTCCCACGCAAAGACGGAGGGGCATCATTCGACAACGGATTTTTTGAGACCCTATTGAGAACCACCACCGCACGTTTATAGAGCCTACAATGATGCCGGGCTATGCGGTGCTTTCATAAATATACGTGCGTACACGATACGGGCGTTAGATCCGTCTCACACCCAGTATCGACATGCCATGTTGTGATCCTTTCATCCGCTGAAGGTGGCGGTGACGCCGACACTCGTCTGCCCCGCCGCCTTCTTGTCCAAGGCAATGTTGTTGTTCAACTTGGTCGTCTCCTCATCAATCTTGTCCTGGTCCCCGTTCCCCTGGGCTGCCTCGATCTGCAGCGCCAGCACCTCCAACTGCAGCTTCAGGACCTTGTTCTTGATCTTGCCGTTCTGGAGGGCGGTCGTGTCGGCGCCGTCGCCCGCGGCGTCGAGCTCGTCGTCGAAGCCGCCCGTGGCCGTCTCGGCGTCCTCGGCCGTCACCCGGGCGTCCTTGATGATTTGCAGGTCCGAGTCGGACACGGAGGCGAGGTCGGACGTGTCAATCTACGCCCGTTAGCAAGAAATTCCACTCAAAAGCCTTTTTCCAGCGGAGGGGGGAACCACTAACGGGGAAGTTGGCGTTCACTTCGGCCAGCGCGTTGCCGGCGACGCCGTCGGAGACTTGGAACTCGCTGTAGGGTCGGACGGTGAGGACGTTTGCTCTCTTGGTTCGCACGCCGATCGGACCAGCCGCGGACAAGGCAACGAGGCCCAAAAGAATGGTAGCTGACGAGATGTACATTTTTCCCTTCTGACCACAGAGAGTGAATGGCGAGCAACTCCCAAAAAATGAATGAGAGGAATAAAGACACAGTCAAAGACAATGAGAGAATGGAAAGAGACAGCCCAGCTGTGCTCGATTGTGAAAGAGAGAGAGAGAGAGAGAGAGAGGCAAACCCGACCTTTGTGAATACAGAACTGACCCGACCACAGATTGTCACAAGACAGAGCAGCCCATGGGCATCTTTATATAGCAAACCATTTTCTTCGGTTCCGTCCTTGTAATTTTTTCGCGCCGACAAACTCGACTCTTCCTATGTCCGCTCAGATAGCGCCGTTTTGTCCCAGCACGAAAAGGCGGGCGTCGCCTGCCTGCGTGCTTGCTAGCCGTCGCACCTCGTGTGCCCACGTGGGAATCGTGCTGTCATGGTGGCACTCGCTTAGGAGCGCTTTGAGACCAGAGGTGTCTGGGGGGAGATGCTGGAAAGGGCAAAAGAGGGCCTCGGGCAGGGCCCTATCCGACGAGGTGTTTTTTTTTTTCATGCAATTTCATTGTCTCTCCGTGGTGTTTCCAGGACCACGGGAATCACCCGGCACAGATATGTCTTGATGTTGTTACGGACCATGATTCTGGTCGGTTTGTTGCCCTGTGTGGGTGCGCGACGATCGGCCCCAGCCCAGCGTCTACCGAGGATGATCTCTGGCGGAGCCTGGACCACGACCTCCAGGGTGTCGTCCTCGCTACTTCGTGCAAAAAGTACTCCTCCACTGTGCACCGGCCAAGGTATCTCGAGATGGCGAGATGGCGCCAGGCTATTAATGCACCCCTCCCTACTCATACAAGGCTGCGGAAAACCCATCCCATTCTGTCCTGTACTATCGCGTGTTGATTGAATGTCGAGTTCGAATTCCACATATTTATTCCAATGCCAAAGCCAATCCCGCTTTAAATCAGGAAGAGTCACACACAAGACATGCATGTGGACCTTGTCTGGACATCAACCTACATACTCAGACGGCCATAAAGGGACAAACACAGAGCAGGAGTACGGAGTACTTGGCAAGTCTCAAGGACAGGGAAAGATGGTCCGACGCAGGATAGGTGCCAAGGCCGTCAATGTGGTTAGACCGTTAGACGAGTTTGAGCCTTGAACACCAAACACCCCAAACGTGCTGGTGCAGCCTGGCGCAGCGGTGAAAGGGGTGGTGCAGCGCCGGGCCCTGTTCGAAGCAGGCCATGTCTCAGTATGAGTCTCACAGTTGGGGTAGAGTCAGTATCACACACCAGCACCAGCACCAGCGGGAGGAGTACGAGGGACCACCGCCAGCACAAGTTCCCGCCCCAGTGCCAGCAGCAAATATCAGTATCATTGGGCCCCTTGCCTCATCCTGTAGTCTGCTTTTCACAAGGTTATAATATTCGCAAGTACGGAGGAGTGCATTCTTCCAGCGTTGACAACTACCACGACGACCTTGATGCGGAGCTGACTTTTGGTGAGTTTTGAGATTCCTCACCAATTTATTACACACAACGACGTGCTACAGCTATAAGCTTAACATAGATTGAGAGCCTTAATACTGATGAATATTTCGAGCACATCATATTTTGACGCTTTCACTTTAATGCTGCGAAAACGCTAGAGAAGATGCTCTAGAAGCAGTAATTTCTCTACGCCTGACTGGGCATTTCAAGGGTATTTGTTAGCGGCCGGCTCACTTTCCTGGTCAGGTAATTCTGTCACTGGAGCCTTTGTTTACGCATTCCCCGAAGTTAATGCCACCATTGGCAAACCTACCTTGAAGATCGATTATTACGTGACATGGAAGGGCTGTAACCTAGGCCCTTTAATTCAGCATCAGACTGTACCTACCTGTCACATGTGAACGATTAATGAAACAAACACGACCAACTGCGATATCTCACCGTGCATAGGCGCGATGTTCGCTACTGTGACGAGGCCGATATTCACTAACTTCCGTCTCGAGAGTTTGAGATCTTGGGTTGCGCAGTCCACGATCTTGACCTCTCCTCGGGTGTAAGCCTCCACTCGATATGGAGGCGCTCGGTGCCATTGGCCTTGCAGCATCTGTGGTCGGCCTTCTAGCTACTGTTAGCGGCGTGTCGGGGCGATCGCGGCGCTTACGGCATGATGAGCCATCGACATCGTTTGGTATTGAGGTTTTGGATGATGGATCTGAAAACCCCGTTGCTGAGTATGGCGTCCGAGGCCTTCTGTACACGACATTAGTACTGATTTCGATATAGCATTTGCTTCGTCCACGGTCTGAATGAGGATCGAGTCTCAGCGTGGCTGTCGACCAACTCGGGGGATGAAGACCAGTTCTGGTGGCCCAAGACCCTCCAGGAAAAGATCCACGCCCGCATCCTTCTATATGGCTACAGCACTGTGGCACCAACAGCTGAATACCTCGCTCGTCGAACGCTATACCACCAGGCTGAGCACATGGTGGAAAGCCTCGCTGATGTGCGTAAAGATTGCCCGAGACGGCCGCTCATCTTTGTTGCCCACAGCCTCGGCGGGATTGTTGTCAAGAGTACCCTGATATTCTCCAGTTAGAGCCCGGAGCCAAACAGTCCCGCCCGGGCCATTGTGCTCTCGACCGCGGGTATTGTCTTTCTAGGGACGCCACACAAAGTACACGGCTACCTTAGTTCGTCGTCTGACAGTGTTCTGAAAAATATCGCCAGAGTCAGTGGCTTGAATGGAAAAATTCTGGATCATCTCAATAAGGAGAGCAGCGCACTTCAGAGTTACTTGGAACCGTTCAGTGCCCTGAGCACCGAAATTCCCATGGCAGGATTCTTTGAGTCGCGGGGTTCTGGGTCTCTCGGCCTTGTAAGTTGATCCAACACTCGGACTACTGGATCATCGCATCTAATGGCTGTAGATCGTCTCTTCTTCAATGGCCGTTCCGGGTACTGAGCACTATTTTCTGGACTCGAATCATGCCAACCTAGGGAAGTTCCAGGGCTATGACGACCACGGTTACCGCAGGGTAGCTTCTGTTATCCAAGAGATGTGTCAGAAAGCTACGTCACTAGTCGATAAGAACTGGGAGAAATACCAGCAGCGCAATGGTAACATTCCACATCACACGCAGCAACCTATGGCAGGTTTCTCTATGCTAACGAGTGCCTGCAGAGCCAAATGCATATGGGGGAAATGACGAAAGACAAGATGATTTCCGGGTTCCTCTGCGCCTACTACCTCCAGCCCCCTGGTTCATCGGCAGAGACGACGCGCTCGAATGGATTGAAAAATCTCTCTTGGGGGATTGTCCCTCTAATTGCCCCAAAAATTGCCATACAGTCAACCTTTACGGACTCGGAGGGATTGGGAAGAGTCAGATAGCGATGGCATTTGCCGACAGATTCTGCAACCGTTTCAGCGCAGTCTTCTGGATCCCCTCTCAGACGCATACCACTATCGAGCAGGAGTATCTTCAGATAGCGCGTACCTTCCAGTTACCAACCTTCGAAGCGCGAGACGGAAGCTCGGGACGCGAAATGGCGTATTGGTGCTGGAGTGGCTTAACAGAAGCCGCAACACCAACTGGCTGCTCATCTTTGACGACGTCGATCTTTCTGCTGCGCCAGATTTAAAAGAGCTGATCCCAAGCACGGCCTGCGTCCACGGCCATGTAATCCTCACCTCGAGAGCCCCATTGAAACTGCCCTTCGCAAAGATGTACCTTGTTGATCCTCTGCGTGTGGATGAATCGAGGGCGCTTTTGAAGAAATCTCTGGGCCCTTCTTATTCATATGGTTCGTATAACTATGGCTTTCATGGTTCAAATCACTTTACTGACCCATCTTAGACTCGGATTTGGATAAGATTTCAAAGGCCTTAGGTGGGCTTCCTCTCGCACTCTCAATGGCAGCCGAGGTCATGAAGAGAACGGAGATGTCACCCAGAGAGTACTTAGAAGCATACGACAAAACAAGATCCGAAATCCTCTCAGAACATTTCCCAGGGAACGAAATTATGAGCACCATTTTGGCGGAGTCCGTCGAGAAGATCCCCAAGCACGCAGCGAAGCTACTTTTCTCCATGTGCTGCGAGCTCTCTCTGAATCCGATTCCATTGTGGATCTTTGAAGGTTCGACATCTTTCAGTTCCAAAAGTGAGTCTGATACGTGCTGACACAAGTTCTCAAATCCTGTGGTTGACATTTACTCGCAGGGATTCTTCGAGAGTCCATCTCCGCACTCGAGAGCTTAAGTCTCATAGTTCGCCCGCTGCCTCTAGCCCATATACAGGTCCACAGCTTTGTACGCGAATCTGGGCGGATCATGCTCCCAACAGATCTACAAGATGACGCACGTCGTGAGTTGTGCGAGACCGCGTCATACGTCGTAGTCTCCCTCCACCAGCCTGTGGCAAGGTTCCTCGCACCTGCTAACGACGGTACTTCCAGTTTTGAGAAGGAGCTCGTTGAGCTCATTGTCGACATTCTCCGTATAATTCGGGACCTGCAGATCCCTTGGCGAAAATGGGATGTCAACCTAGAGGAGCTTGGCAGAGTTTGCCAGGCACATGGGAAGTTCTCCGAGGCCACCGAATTCTACGAACTATGCCTGGAGAGGAACAAAGGCACCGAAGCATCGATGTCGCGAGTAAAGATCAGACGAACTCTAGCGCAACGCCGTGCCAGAGAAGGTTTGGGGATTGGGCCCGATTCTAAGGAGAAGAGCCTTCGCGAGCAGTTCCAGGAGGCGGTAGAAGCGGCACACGACGAAGAGTCTCTCCAGGACCTGAAGTCGCTCAATCGCGAACAGGATGACCCCGACCAAGAGCTGGAGGTTCTTCGGATGATTATCGATGCGCAGGAGCTCCTCTTTGGGCCCATGAACCCGTCGACGCTCGAATCCATCCAAGAGCTTTCTCTCCGACTGGTCGAGCACGGCCTCTTGGAAGAGGCAGAGGCCAGACTACGTCGCGTCCTGACGTCCTACGGCATGTTGTACGGTACACACCACCCGAGCACGACTCGCGTCGAAGAGCGCTTGGCCTCCGTCTGTGCACTGCTGGGCAAGCTGGACGAAGCCGAGGCCATCTGCAAGGACGCAATTCACGATTATGAGATGCGCCTTGGTCGAGACCATGCTTCTACACAAAAGTGCCTGGCGCAACTAGCATTCACGTATTATCTCCAAGAGCATTACGAGGATGCAGAGCCGCTGTTTGTTCACGCCATCGACACCCTTTCCAGGACGGCAGGACCTCATCACCCCGACGTCCTGCGGGTCCAGCACAACTACGCCCTCAATCTGAGGAAATTGGGAAGGGCCCGCGAGAGCGAACAGTTGCTGGAGGATGTATTGAGTCGCATGGAGTCGCAGCCAGAGAGACACTCCATGAGCGTGAGGCGGAGAACGGCAATGTAGCTGTTCCGGGAGATCAAGGAAGATTCGACTGTGCCTTCCGATCTTGTCTCCTGCTGTTCCTCCAGATACAATTGCTGCCGGATATCTGGCGGCACGTCATCATGATCGGCAAGGACAACCCCCATTGGCGACATGTTCGATCAGACTTCGGAAGTGCGGCGCCCTCAGCCTGTAATGCTTCTTCCCGTCTGGGTCGATCCAGCAATGTGGACCGATCACACGAGCCCGGACAGCGGAAGATTGTGTACAACTCTCTGCCATACTGCAGGCTGACCCGAAGCCGCTTCTTCGGCATTGAGATGCCTTTCTCGTTACGCAAGCATAATCCCCGTTGCCGATGTCGAGCCCCTCTTCTCGCCTCTCCGTGGTGCAGATCTGGTGGCTAGTCTAGAGGCTTCCAGATAAGTTGAACGAGAGGTTCAAGCGGACTTTCTTGCTCTTTTGGAAGTATTGACCACGCGAGCGCAATTGTTTTTCGGTGACAGTCCAGTCGATATCGGTCTGGTTGTATCTTTTGGCAAGGTCTCGTTGTGAACGTTCAGTGACCGAAACGTCCACATTCGTATCGTCGGACCGTACAGCTCGATTTCTCGGGAACTTGTTCTGTATCAGCTCTTCCAGTTGGGGCTTGCAAGACCAGCCGCCAATACCAGCTTGGGGCCAGTAATAACACTTCAGGCTCTGTATCTTTTGAGATGGCTTTCCCGTTCCAAGGTCACCTTGCCACTCGATCGAGTAACGGAGACAGTCAGGCAAGTCGCTGTCATATGTTTGATGGATCCCTTTTCGCCTCTTGTAAAAATGTAAACAGTAACTGCCTGTCCCGATGGGTAATCGTGATTTTGGCCTGTAGGGGCTGGCGTGCCCAGGGTCAGCCCACCTCAATCTAACGTCTTCGACGCAGCCGTAGCATAATGGAAAATAGTGCTCGCATCTACGCTCATTATCCTAAAGTTGATGGTGATAACGCGAATTACTGGAGCACAACAATCAAGGGGCTGAAAGGAGATGCTGCAATTGCAAGATTGTTCAGGTAGAGCTGAGAAAAAACTTAAGCGTGGCACCGCTTTTCGAACGCATTTTCTCTATGTTAAGTACAATTGAGATACGATTGCAAGCCTGGTGAGGTGGTCACCAGGTGCATATCCCCACTGTCTCGGGGAACACTGAGAAACTCCCCGATCCTGGATCCAGACGAGTGGGAAATCATTCTCGTGTCTTCTTCGGGAATGGTCTGGACTACACTACCTTCATTGTGTTGTCTAAGGTCTCACCCCTATCTTGTTTGATCGTTATTTTGCTTGTAATTCGCTGCTTCCCTGCTTCTAGAATTGTTTGATTGATAGGTTCAAGCTGTTCGCTGTCCCTGATTTATATACTCTGGAGGGTTCAACAGGTCATAGCTTTACCAGACCTTTAAATTGTTTTTTAATTTCTGAGCCACAGCAAGTAATCCGTCCATCACCGAGATCTCTCCTTAGGAGATGTTCTACCGGACGAGACTCTTGATATCGATTGCCAGACATTTAAGCCGAGCTCAGGCACAGTGATGGCACAGTCGTCCTCGACGACTTGGGGGGAGGGAGTTCGATACAGACTATACGCAACGAGATTGAGATCAAATGGACACCCAAAAAGATCATTTTGCCTCTGAGTCCAGTATATTTCATGATTTTCGTCATGTCTGGTGAAGGGTCCTTCCATGATCTCATGTCTCCGTCTTATAAAGGTGACGAAGAATATGACAAAGAGATGTATCGTCGTTTATTTGAGAATGAATATCCTAAATTCGACATTCTTGTGCTACCCGTGTCCAACAGTGCTGTCAGGGAGTGTATGCTTGTATTGAGCACATATTGATCGACTTGAGAATGCTAAAGACAAGTGGCAGGCAAGATACAATCGTAACCTCTTCACTATCTTCTTAACCACGATGCATCACCTTAGTAGAAGTTCTAAGGCATCGAACTTAAACTAGGCCGACGCCTTCTCAATCTGTGCGAGCTCGATACCTTCAGGCTTGTTCGTCCTTTCCGCAACCTGTCGCACGATTTCCGCGGACTCCTCCTTCGCACGAAGAGCAGCTTCTGTGAAAGTGATCTTCTTTCCGGAGTCGTAATAAATCTCAAACATTCGATCGATTTCCTCCAAGCTGAGCTTCGCAGTCTCCACATAGAAGTACCAGATGAATGGCACGAAAGAGATGTTGAGGACGGCGAAGATAATGAAGAAGCGCCAGCCAATGTTGGCAAGACCTGCTCTGCACTTAGCTTGGATCCCATTCCAGAGATGGGGTACTTACTGTCTGGCGTTATCAAGACTATGATGTAGACGAAAAGCCAATTCGTCACCATGGCAATAGCGGTGCCCGTATTCCTCATCATCTGAGAATTGATTTCGCTTGGGTACATGTAGGGAATGGACACGAACATCAGGCCCTAGGAGTGTCAGCTGAATTCAGCAAATATGCATCACGGACTTGACTTACGTAGGGAATGTAGTACATAAACAAGAACAGGACAGCAACCGCATTCCAGCCTTTCGTGTTCTGGCTGAGACCAGCCGCGACGAAAATGTAACAGAGGCCCATTCCAGTCGCCCCAATCAACATAAGCTTGACTCTGCCAAATCTGTCGATAAGAAGAGCACCAAGGGCACCCCAAAGGACCAAAGTCATCGAAGCAACCGCAGCAAGAACCAAAGCCATTCTGTCGCTGAAGCCAAATGCACGCATCAGAACGACTGGAAGGTAGGACGCGGACACGTTGATGCCGCCCATCTGCTGCATGACAAAGCATCCACCCCCGAGGCATATTCGGTAAAAATTCTGTTGTTTTCCATTGGTGAAAACTTCTTTCCAGCGAGTCCCTGAGAGCTCTCGTTCGCGCTGAAGCTGTTCCAAGATAAGAGCCATAGCCTCGGAAACCTCCAAGGACTCCGGCGGCGCAGCAGCGAGACGGGCAATGACAGCCCGGGCTTCGTCATTGCGGTCCTTGAGACAAAGCCATCTCGGCGACTCCGGCATCAAGAATGTCAACACAATACTGGTGAGGGCGAAGAAGTTCTGGAATGCAATGGGAAACCGCCAGCTGACACTGGTCGCGTCGGCAAAGGACAACCCGTAGTTCATCCAGCTGACAACGACCACGCCCGAAAGGACCAAGGTGAGCTGAAGGACGATCATTTTCCCTCGGTGTTTGGCCTTGCTAGTTTCGCTTTGCCACATGGGGATAGCCGTGGTGTTCATCCCAGTGCCCATGCCAGCAATGACACGGCCAGGGAATAGTTGACCCAAGGAGTACGAGGACGCCTGGATGGTGCCTCCGATGACCACCAGGGTGCATGCGAGCATGATGGCTCTTCTTCGACCAAATGTGTCACCCACAAAGATGGAGAAGAATGCTCCCACAATGCAGCCGAGATAGTAGGTAGACACAATTTGGCCCTGAATTGTGGGATTCGGATTGTTGAACGTCTCGACGAACCGCGGATTGGAGAGGAGTCCGCCCATGAGACCTTGATCGTAACCGAAAAGGAGGAAGGCGAAGCCACAGGCCAGTGAGATACAAGCACTCAGCCCACGACCTTGGAGGTTCTGGAGCATGTTGGCCGAAGTTGAAGATCGCACTTGGGTACTCTAATTGAGAGAAGACCTTGATCGGGTAGACGCACTGGAGAGGCTGGGCAAAGCAAGACTCTTGTACTCGTTGCGCCTTGCGCCTTCAGTTGCCTTAAAGCCCTTTGCCGCAAGGCATACCCACGACGCATACCCCAGGATGCATACCCCAGTTATCCCCAGATCCCAAATGTTGGCCACATGCACGCTCGGATAGGTGGTCGGCTGCTGTGAAAATTTTATTTTGTGGATCAATCGGAGACCAGACAGGCTGTATCCGGGTATATGTGGATGTCAACACTTTCGGCCGGATATACCACACTTGAAAGCCTACCATAGACGACCCTGGATTAAGGCCAAAATTATCATTCCCCGATTTTACTGGCGTGCCGATATCATCACTGGAGGTCTAATCGGTTGGAGATTCAAAGTTCCCCAACATACTGTCTATGAGGTTCTGCTGGTCGACAAGGAAGGCAATACTTGGAGAGGATACTATTGCTGGAGAGGATACTATTGCTGGAGAGGATACTATTGCTGGAGAGGATACTATTGCTGGAGAGGATACTATTGCTGCGCGAACAGAAACCGGTTGTCTCCGTCACGACCTATGCCAGGAGCCTCCATCCTGCCTTGAGCATGTCTGGGTCACTCTCTACATGCGCCTTGACTTTACGTACAATTCCGTCCATGTCCAGCCCGAAGCGTGCCATATTCGCTGGGCCGCTCCCACTGTAACCAAACGAGCTCATTGCCACCGATGCCGTGCAGTAACGTGCCCAAGTAGTGGACACATATGCCTCTACAGAAATGATATGCCTGCAAGCCGACAGTACAGAGACCTTGTATGATTCATCCTGTTGCTCGAACAAATCAATACTAGGCATGCTCACAACTCTGGTTGGTATGTTGCTGGCGGAGAGCTTGGCCGCAGCCGCAACAGCATGTGGCAGATCCGACCCACAAGACACGAGTGTTACGAGGGCCTCTGCTTTCTCAACGACAACATACCCACCCTGCGCAACCTTGAATCGATCCGTAGAGGGCACCACTGCGGGCGCTGGATCTCTTGCGAGCGACAGCATCACAGACCGGTTTTTTACCGAGAGTGCCACAAGCCATGCTCCGATGACTTCTTCAGCATCGGCAGGCCGAAGGTAAAGTAGGTTTGGCATGGCTCGAAACAGTGAATCCAACTCAACGGGTTGGTGAGTTGGCCCATTTTGTCCTTCAGCGATCGAGTCGTGCGTGGCGATATGGATGACCTTTAATCCACTGAGGGCGCCCATCCTCACACCTGGCGCTGCGTACAAGTAGAACATGAAGAAAGTGGCCGTAATTGGGACTATTGTCTGGTGGCAATACGCTGCGAGCCCGTTCGAGATGGCTGCCATTGCATGTTCGCGAATGCCATATCTGATAACCCTGCCTTGTCGATTGACACTGTCAAATATGCGGTGTGACTGGTCGCCAAGTTGATTTGAATTCCACAGATCTGCTCCCCCAGCCATGAGACTAGGCACACGGTCGAGAAGCGTGTTGAAGACTTGTCCATTGAATGTTCTCGTGGCTTGGACAGTCGCCGGAACTTGCATCGATGTCAAAAGGTGCTCGAATTCAAGCTCTCCTCGCATCCGCTTCGCCAATTGCTCCCCGAGCTCTGGAAATGTTTGGCAATATTTCTCGAACTTGTTCTTCCACGCTCTTTCTATTGATGCGCCATTAGATGAGCACCAACTGAAATATGCCTTGCATTTTTTCGAGACAGTGTGGCTTGGTGTGTTCGAGCTCTCGGCAAAGAGTGCCGCATCATCGTCGGTATAAGTTCCATGGTGAGATTTGAAGGTCCCCGCCGTCGATGTCCCAAAGCCGATAGTCGTCCGAATATTGATGAATGTCGGCTTGCTATCGGGACTAGGTGCCCGAGCCAGTTGGAGGGCGGCGACAATGTCGTCCACAGCGCTGTCACCGCCGAAGACGTCAATAACTTGCCATCCTAACGCGCGCATTTTGGCATTGGTGTCTTCAGATACTATCCACTCAAGAGGTCCGTCACATGTGACAGCGTTGTTGTCGTAGCATAGGATGAGGTTGTCGAGTTTCAGATGTCCAGCGATGGCCATTGCTTCCTGCGCTACACCTTCTTGAAGACAACCGTCGCCAGTGGTACAGAAAATGCGCGACGTGATGATGTCGTAGCCTTCTCTGTTGTACGTAGCAGCGAGCTGCTTCGATGCTATGGCCAACCCGACGGCATTTGCGATCCCCTGGCCTAGTGGCCCTGTGGTAACTTCGACGCCAGGGACCTCGATTTCTGGATGACCGTGACATAGAGTCTCCTTCCATGTCCCTGTCTCAGGGTCGACGGTCTTTGGGCTCGCGTACATTTTCAATTCTTCCAGTGTCATGCCAACATATCCAGTAACGTGAAGCATTACGTATAGAAGGATTGCGGCGTGCCCATTAGAAAGCACAAATCTGTCGCGGTCAAACCATTCTGGACTCTGAGGACTATATCGCATCGTGTGTCGCCACAGCGCAACGGCCAAGGGTGCCATAGAAATAGCCGATCCTCCATGACCACCACCATTCTGTCTGCAGCAATCGAGCACCAACTTGCGGATCTCACGGACAGCATGCTGGTCGTCGTCATGAACTCGCCCCGACTCGGCCTGAAAGGGGATTGCGTGGGCGCTGACTCCGTTAACCATCGACGAGACACTCATTTTTGCATTTGGTCTACCGAGCGAGATGGCCGTAGGCTCCTTGATGGATTTATTGTTATACCTGACGTGTCATCATCGTTGACATTCTGAAGCTACCTCCCCACAAACTCCAAGCCATAAACACCTTCCCGCCGGATATCGCTAACCAAGTCGATCCAACCGAGGATTCGACCTATCCGAACACCGTGGAGTGTTGCATATACCCACGACCTTGATAGCCGGCCATGTCGGCAGTCCGTGTTTCTAGACGCCTACACATAGATCAAGCCAGCTTGCCTCATGTGTTTTGCCACTATGGCTTTGAAATCTCCGATTCTGTAGTTGATGGAATAGGAGACGTTGGAGTAGTGACAGCTATCGGCAACACAACAGCATATAGGCAGTATGATCCGCATCATCTGGCAAACGCGCTCGTTACACAGGGCCTAGGTGACTTAGACTTTATATTTAGATCCTGCTCAAGATCGTATAAACCGAACATTGGCATCGAATCTCTTTACCTATACCCATTCGCGTCGAAAATGGCTAACCCCGAACCACGATTGATCATCATTGGAGGCGGCGTGGCTGCAATTGCACTCGGAGTGAAATTGAAGACTCAGTTGGGCTTCAAAAACTTCATCGCCTATGAGAAAGAAGCTGGAATTGGCGGCGTCTGGCGCACGAACACGTATCCTGGAGTCGGCTGCGATGTGGACTCACACCTATACTCCTTCTCCTTCAACCTCAATCCCAACTGGTCCCGACGATTCGCCGATCAACGGGAGATTCTTCAGTATATGGAGGACACTGTGGACAAGTTCGACATTCGCGACCACTTCGTTTTGAACACCAAAGTTGTCGAAGCAGCGTGGATAGAAGAAGAGGCGGTATGGGAAGTTCAGCTCGTCGATCTCGAAACAGGATATCAATACACGAAAAAGGCAGAATTTCTGGTCTCTGGCTGCGGCGTCCAGTCATATCCCAAACCCTGCGATATTCCTGGGTATGAGAAATTCAAAGGCGCCATTTGGCACTCCGCCAGATGGAATCACGACTATAACCTGAAGGGCCGGCGAGTGGCCGTGATTGGGAACGGCTGCTCGGCCGCGCAATTGGTGCCATACGTGGTTAACGACGCCGCTTTTGTCTACCAGTTTCAACGATCTCCTCAATGGATCAACGAGAGACCCAACAAAGAGTTCTCAGCGTTTCAAAAGCTGTGTTTCAAGTATTTGCCTTTATGGCAACGGCTCTATCGGTTCTATCTCTGGAAGACAACTGATGCCTTGCACGAACTCTACACTTCGGACACTGAACACGCCGTGGCAGCTCGTGAAGCTGCAACGCGAGAGACTATCGCGTACATGAAGAAAATGGCGCCGGCCAAATACCACAAAATCCTTATTCCAGATTTCCCACTCGGGTGTAAGCGTCGCGTTTTCAACCCTGGGTGGCTTGAATGCTTACATAGCCCTAATCTTGAACTCACCACGGAGAGAATCATTGAGATCACTGAGACCGGACTCCGAACGAGTGAGAGGACAATTGACGTTGATGCTATCGTATTATCGACGGGATACAATATGCAAGAATTCCTGTCCCCAATCAAGCTGACGGGACGCAACGGCAAGACACTATCAGAACACTGGAAGGAAACCCGCGGTGCTCAGGCTTATAAGGGCACGTTCGTCAGTGGATTTCCCAACTTTGGAATCGTCTTTGGGCCGAATGCCTTCCCGGCACATAACTCGGTTATCTATACAGACGAAGTCCAGGCAGAATTCATCATCAAGACCGTGATTCAGCCGGTGCTCGCCGGGCACTTCAAAGTTATAGACATCAAGGATTCCGCTGAGACGCTGGACGCGAACCACGTCCAGAGGAAATTGCAGACGATGGTATGGAGTGGCAATTGTGTAAATTGGAATCGTGATGGTCGAGGCAGAAACACGACAAATTATTTTGACACTACGTGGATGTTCTGGTACCGCTTGTACTGGCCCGTCTGGAAGGATTATACCATCTCCGGCGGCAAAGGTACCCATCCAGTCCATCCGCTGTGGAAGCTGGCCGCAAGCGTGCTTGGTGTTGGTTGTCTGGCAGAGGTGGCCTGGCACTTCTCTCCTGCTCTGGCGCAGTCCCTATCGACACTCCACAAACTGGGTTTCTAGGTAGTAGTTGTGACTCGTAGCTGCAAAATTCACGAACTTCATAGTTGAAACACGTTGCATTGAGCGGCTTGAATCTGAGACTACCTTGGGGCTTTGACTCTGCCTTTGCATCGCTCTGCGGCTTCGGTCATCCTTTGCCTGGAGTGAGATGGCCGGAGCTTCGGGTATAGACTAAAGAGTTGTCCGGCCGGGTACTCTCCAACTCTTGGGTAACCTCATGATGAATGCTGCGGAATGTCCAGCTCGATTGGCAACCCCATCCACTTGTTAGGAGCGGGGCTAGCCTCGGGAACACAAGGATTTAAGAGTGCAGTGTGTCCCACGACCAGTCCTGGACCTCTACTATTAACCCCAACGGCACGATTTCTCAGAAGTGGCCACGATGAGTTCCGGACACAGGCACCAGGCCATGGTGCTTTATGGCGCACAGGACCTTCGACTGGAGACGGTCGACACTCCCACGCCAGGCGCAAATGAGGTGCAGATTCGACCACGAGCCACAGGAATTTGCGGGTCGGATATTCACTACTATGAGCATGGCCGGAACGGGAACTACGTCGTCCGAAATCCGTTGGTCCTCGGACATGAGGCTGCTGGCGAGGTGGTTGCCGTGGGCAAAGACGTGAGCTCTATCACAGTCGGGGATCGAGTGGCCATTGAACCACAGCGACCTTGTGGCGGCTGTAAGCAGTGCAAGGAAGGGATATACAATCTGTGTCCCAACCTCAGGTTTACCGGTTCGGCGACCGCGGATCCGCCTGTCCAAGGATCTCTTCAGCAGGTCTACAATCACCCAGCAAGTTTTGTACATCGGCTACCTGAGAGTCTCACATTCACAGAAGGAGCTTTGGTCGAACCCCTCTCAGTTGCTATGCACGCAGTACGCCGTTCTGGACTTCGAGCCGGGCAGTCCGTGGTAATCTTAGGAGCTGGTGCGATCGGGCTCCTTTGCGCCAGTGTAGCACGGCTCTCTGGTGCGTCGAGAATTTGTATGGTGGACATCGACCAATCTCGGCTCGACTATGCAAAGACTCACGAGCTTGCCGACCACGTCGGGCTGATGCCGCGGGGTCAATGGCAGGACCTCTCCAAGGCAGAGACATTTGCACGCACGGCCCAGGATATACTCAGTCAACCCGGGTTTGAATTAGCGGATAGGGTTTTCGAGTGCACCGGGGTCGAAACATGCGTCAATGTGGGCATCCATTGCACAGCACCGGGCGGCAAGGTGGTCTTGGTCGGAATGGGAAGCCCGTTGCAATCGATTGATGTGGGAGCGGCCGCAAAACGGGAAGTGGACTTGTTGGGGCTCTGGCGATATGCGAATACCTTTGAAACCGCTATCGCTCTCCTGGCTTCTGGTCGCCTGAACGTAAAGTCACTGGCAACACACCGCTTTGAACTTACCAAGGCGGCCGAAGCATTTGAAGTCGTGCTACAGAAGCCCGAAGGGCTTATCAAGTGCGTCATCACATCAGATTAAACCAGACAGGTCGAAGAACAAACCAAAATTCTACTTGCTCAATGGACGGCAGGCTGGCCTCAGAATCATACCATCGACTAGTACGACGGACCTTTACTTGGCTTCCGAGGCCAAACTTCTCGTAAATTGAAGTCAATTTTGGATCAATTCGCAACCTAGAGCACGGCTGAGTAGTGAGTAGTCGAGAAAGCAGATTCTGAATTGGGGATCCGGCTATATGAACGCGAGGGGTGGATTGGCCCCGTGCCGGCTATTTGCACCATATATCCGGCCACTTTTGCCACCAAGGGCCCTGCGAATGAAGTTTGTGGCCAGGGTCTCATTTGAGATGATGCCGTGATGGATGGCCTGAACACTAGTCAGAATAACAGAGTCTCAGTGGAGTCATGTTGAGCAGGGTAGTTTAACGTGTAGTAGTAGCGAATGTACAGGGCGCGCTCCTAAGCAAGGGGTTATTGCATTCAGTATGCCTTGCGCCGCACCCACACCGGGCCAGGTCCCTCTCCAGGGGCTGGGGTAGGGTGCAGCACCCCGCAATCTGGCGGACCAAGGACTTCAGGGAGATAACTCGTATTATGTCGTAGTGCCCAGGGGCTTTCCCGGCCGCTGTCGTCCAATTGACGCCGCGCTCTGGTCGAGTCCAAGGACAAACTTGGCATCTGAATTTTTCGCTGCCTTTCATCCTTGGATTGATGCTCTTAAGAGCTACCTATCAGTTGCAAAGATATGGCCGCCGGCGAAGGCGTGCGTTGCCGCGCAGCGCGTGCTTGCAAGAGGTGTCATGTTAAGAGAATCAAGTGCGACGCCATTGAGGGCGGCATGCCCTGCACCGGATGTCAACAGGCCGAGAATAGTGAATGCAGCTTGATGCCATCGAACAGAGGTACCTACATTCGAGCAGCATCCCGACGGGCGAGGCATCAACAAGCGGAAAGGGTGCGTTCTTCCATTCTTCGCAGTACGGCTGTGCCTCGCGATACAGATTACCAACGATTTGTCGCGGCCGAAGCAACGACCGAAGAACAGTATGCAGACCACCAACCTTCACGGAATCCCGACCCAATGGCAGGGACTATGGTATCGAGAGGAATCAATCGTGGTGGCAGAGGTCTCAACTCTGTCGCATCGCCACTGGACCGCCGTGCCACCTCACCCGCATCTGGTGCCGATGACACCAACTCTCCAGTATTGGACCTCGCGACGACAGGTCCGGAGTCATCTCATCGGGAACCTTCCTGGACTACGATGTTTGACGGGCTCTTTGACAATCTTTCGCATAACCAGAAGGCCGCTCTCGACAAATGCTCCATCACCTATCTAGGCGAGTCATTTCCATTGGGCATGGTTCTTGAAGAGGTGAATGAAGGCGGAAGAACGCGCCTCCATCATCCCGGACCACCTGTTTCCGAGCCCTCGGTGGTAGAAGAGCCATCGGGGCAGCGACATCCCTCGCATATGCAGCCAGAAGATATCGCGTACCTCAAAGCAAAGGGTGCATTCACATTCCCTGATGCTGACAAGCTCGATGCATTGGTAACGACGTACTTGGGACGAGTGTATCCTCTGTATCCAATAGTCAATCGACAAGAATTTATTCGACAGTATGAGGCCGATGAGGTCCCGGCCATGCTATTGCATGCTGTCTGCTCAATAGCTGCGACATTTTGCGACCTCGCCCTCATCCACCGTGCCGGATTTAGTTCGCGGCTTGACGCGAGGTTAGCATCCTACCGCAAAGCCAAAGCGCTTTTTGAAGTTGGGTACGAGACCGACAAGATTGTGCAGCTGCAGAGTGCTGTCTACATGACATTTTGGGGCGGAGGGCCGACCAACCATTGGAACTATTTCAGCTGGATCGGCACGGCCGTGACGATCGCAGAGTCTCTTGGGATTCATCGGTCGATGGCCAATGCTGATATGGATGTTTCTGACAGGAGTCTATTGAAGAGGCTATGGTGGACTCTCGTCAACAGGGACGCTCACTGTCAAAGCCTGGTTGGGCGCCCGTTTCGAATCAACCAAGAACAGGTGGACATAGAGCCCTTGGTGCCGGAGGATTTTGAGGAAGATATGCGGAGTCCCGAGTTCAAATCGCATCCATTACGAACCGCGTTCGCTCTCTACCAGATCCACATGTCACGATTATCGCTCATCCTCAAAGATATTGTGAACGCTCGATTTAGACCCGGTAGACTGCAGTCGAGAGCTGCCGTTCTGTACGACAAGTTGCTGCGCTGGCGCCATGAGTTGCCTGGGGAGCTTCAGTGGGTGGATGGTGATGCAAACCTAGACGTCTTTGTGTTATGCCTCTGCACATCTTACAACCACCATTTGATACTCCTCCACCAAGACCAACCGCCCATGGGTGGTTTGGCGTCTACTACCCAGGAAAATTCCTTATTGAAAAGGTCAATTCCTTCGCCCGGGATCGCAGCCAGGAATATTACTTGCCTCGTGTACACGATATACGCCAAGTCGAACCCTCTTTGTATCCCACATGAAACATTCCAAGGCGTGTTCCTGGCGGAGGCAGTAATGTTTACACAGATGAAGGCTTCTGACCTGATGACCGCGCAGCATGGAAGAGCGGCGTTGTCCGCTTGTCAGATGCTGTGGCATGCAGTCTTGGAAACTTGGGACGCTTCACCTTGGATCCTGCGTCTGTTCGACCATCTGGTCGGGCGTCTCGGCCTTCCAAGCGACAGGCAGAACGACCCTAGCTGGGTAGCGACGGGTGAGTCTTCCACAGATGCTCTGCACGCCGACGAGTTTGTGGATGACTTCGGGGATACTCTCCCAACCCTGTCCACTTTTCTTGACATGACGCAAGACGGAGGCGCGTTGTCGAATTTTGTAGATTTTCCCATCTTTTCAGGTTCTTTAGGCTTGACGGATCCAAGTCTAGGAATGCAATAGCAGAGCATTTCAGGTGGTGGGAGACGCACATAGACGACTTCTAGTATGATTGTGGGTAGTAAGCGTACAGTCGACATAAAGCAGTCTACTCATCTCGCTTCTAACAAGATCATCTCGCAACAGAATAGTTGCCTATAAGTTCAAATACAAAGTTCACCACAATGAACTTTAGAGGAGCCGGCTATACCCCAACGAAATCACAAGCCCAGAGGTTTCCCGACCTTTGCTATTCGAAGGAAAATGTGAAACCCCCTTCTGCTGGGCCATCGGGATTACCATAAGCTCCCCCAAGTAGGCTGTCTAAGAGGGGGTCTCTACCGGCTATGTTCGTCTACATACAAGCGAGCTTTCCGTTCCGTCAGCTCTGCAGGATACAGCATCAAGCGCTACGATGATTTTATAGTGAACAGATTGTGTCTCTCACGTACAAACCACACTTGCGATGGACTTGGAACATTCATATATTTTCCCAAAATTTGGTGAATTGCCGCTGGTTCCCAACACCCCGCAAGGCTGTCTCTGGGGCTTTTACGATCGACATGGGAAAAAGGATGAAGTAGGGGGTAAGCCATATTTCACAAACCTAAGTATGACATCAATTGACCATCCCAAAGCCATTAACCTCCTCACTGCCTCCGTGGTAAGAGAGGCCAGCAAGGAAATTCAGACAGGACATCATGTCCAACTTGACTGGCCGCTACATAATCAAGAGTTCCCCGGGTACAATCGCAAACCCTTTGAGCACAAGATCATCGACCACAAGCCCCTGGGCATATGTGGCTTTGATGACGAAATCCACATGAATACACAGAGCGGCTCGCAGTGGGACGGACTGAAACATGTAAGTCACAGGTGGCATTTTCCACGACGAGATTGTCGATTCACCGCGACTCACTCCCTTCTCTAGGACGGCTACGGCAATGGCCGCAATGTGTTCTACAACGGCCTGACTTATCAGGAGGCGAGCCGATCTACCACGAACGGAACACATAGTGAGTTCCATCCGAACACGAGACACGCATGTTTTGGCAGAATAAAACTAAACCTCGGGTCTAGACTGGTGCGAGAGGGGCGGCATTGTCGGTCGAGGCATCTTGGTGGATATGGTAGCTTCTTTTTTTCACTCTTCACTCGGTGTTCTGAGGAGATGATTAACCCACTGACAAAAAATCAGGTCAGATTTTACGAGAGGAGAGATGGGCAAGCCCCGGATCCGTGGACGCGGTATGAGATCCCACTGGATGACCTCCAGACCGCCCTCAAGGATCAAGGCACGGTGCCTAGGCAGGGGGACATCTTCATGATTCGTTCAGGCTACGTTAAGCGTCACAATGAAGCGAGTTCCAAAGAGCGGGAAGCCTGCACGTTCGGTATAGGTAAACCGGCCATCGGGGTAGCCGCGGACGAGGAAACTGTTCGGTGGATGTACGACCAGCACTTTGCGGCCCATGTTGGCGATACAGTGGCATTTGAAGCATGGCCGCCTTCTCCGGCCAGGGACTACAGCTTCCACAACTGGTCGCTTGTCTGGTGGGGGACACCACTGGGAGAGCTCTGGGACTTGGAAAGTTTGGCAGTAGCTTGCGAACGGCATGGCCGGTGGTCGTTCTTCTTCACCAGTGCTCCTCTGCACGTCAAGGGCGGAGTGGCGAGTCCCCCATGCGCGATTGCTATATTCTGACGGTCCATACGGGCCTCGAGAGGCCCTGAGAAGACGCCAAACCCAGATGGGATGTTGGAGAAAATGCCATATAGCCGGTACCGACCACCCTTTGGTTGACGCATGGAAGATGAGCCGACTCCTGTAGTACAACCCGGTTTCTCGACCAAGTGAGTAGCGGATATAAAATCTACAGCAACATATAGTTCAGGTAGTAGCTTTCAAAAGTCGTGTCACGTCCAACATCATTGTACGAATTGCCAGCCGCAACACAAATACGCATCTGACAGCTACCAAACGTGCTCCGATCGCCATTCGACTCAAAAGAAGTACTCACAGGACTACGAAAGGAACCACAGAGAAGATTCTTGTATTGGTTGATGAGAGCTACAGGCGATTTACAGTGGCCAATAGGTCTTTCAACTTCCATCCCAGTAGCGACCAACATGTAGTGCTCCAGTGACCAGCATCTCAGAGCCGCTCATGTAAGAGCTCGCCTCGCTCAAAAGGTATACAGCGGCGCCCTTGAGTTCGCTTCTATCTCCCATGCGATGGGCAGGAGGCTCTGTCACAGCAACCTCAGCAACCTTCGGATGAAGCTTGCCATAATTGACGAGGGTGTCAGTGTTGATATATCTATATGCGTATGTGTTAACAGGTTAATTGGTACGAAGACAGTTTGCCAATAGGCAATGGCGTTTCGAGAGCTGGCAGCAAGATGTCATGTACGCACCCTGGCGAAATACAATTGACGCGGATCCCGTCTTTGGAGAGCTCAACAGCCAACTGACTCTTCAGAGACACGACCGCTCCCTTGCTAGAACAGTAGTCGCTCGTGAACTGGTGATTGCTGGACTGGTGTGCCGCCACAGATGCAATCATCACAATGGAGCCAGCACCCGAAGCATTAGGTTTTCGAGGTTGTCGAACCATTTGTGCGACGGCTAGTTGCGTTGCGAAGAAAGTCCCAAAAACATTGATGGAGAAAGTTCGCACCACGCTGTCGGGAGTCTTGTCTAGAAAGCGATTGTCGGAGCATACTCCGGCGGCGGTCACTCTGCGATCAATCACCCGCATCAGCACATAATGCCGGATGGTGTTATCCGTAGTGTGTTCGACTTACAAGCCATCAATCCGGCCGAAGTCAGCAACGATACTCTCGAATGTCCCTTTCAACCGGTTGAAGTCGGTGACATCGGACCTGCCACAATGGTCAGTACACACTCGTCTATATTCGTCAAAAAGCGATGGAGATGGAGATAACGAACCGATAAAACTTGGACTTGGGCGAGATCTTCAATAGCTGCGTGTAATGCTCGTGCGGCTCTGGCAGGGCATCAACGATGGCGACTAGTCCACCGGCCTCAGCAACGGCGAATGCCAGAGCAAGACCGATCCCTCTGCCTCCTCCGGTAATCACAACGACATTGTCGTTGAGAAGGAACTGATCCAAGACATTGCGCGTCAGATAACGGTCGATGTTAGCCTCCGAATGGCCGTTAGTATCGCCATTCATGATGGAGGCTAGACGACGTTGCAAATCACGAGACAAGTGTTCTGGTGCTTCAGCTGTTGCACGGGGGGGTACGAGACCCAACAGTGTTTAAGAGCTTGCCATGGGTACAAGAGTGGGAGTTCAGAGGACCCAGCGGATCAGGGGCCTGGCTAATGCCTGTGCCCTTCGCGAGCTCGCCGAAGCCAAGTCGTAATTGCACATTGCCGGACGAGTATACAGGCTGGATGGAAATGAGAGGCTGATCCTGACCCCAACGGAGATATTTCTCTACAGAGCCTTTGTGATGCGAATGCCGACAACTGATAGAGAGCTTGGCTCTCCAATTGCGAATTACTAGTGCAGACCATGTCGCCTTCCGAAAAGGAAGCTGGCTGATTGGTGACGACGTGAGTACGCTGGCAGTGATGCAACGTGAAACCACTGCGTGGGACTCTTGAGTTCTCCAACAATAGGGGTTAGAAATTCTCCATCCAGAATTTGGGGTATCCACAAATATTCTCGAGGCATCAATGCTCCATGCAGGAGAAACAAAGAAGTTGGGCTCTTGGAAATTTAGAAAGCTCTTGACCACTAAGCTGCGATAGGGTGTTCATTCTTGCCACCGTAGGCTATCTGATGTTTCTTCTCCCCGACCTTTCCCTGTCGGCTCTCTTTCTCAGCCTAGTAAGCGACCCATGTCTATGGTCAAACAAAGTCAGCATCTCCTTCATTTTAGCATTTGCGGCGTTGAGTGCCAACTGACACCAAACCAAAAATACGTAACTGATTTGGTTGGAAGTGCTGTGTTACCGTGTTTGTAAGTTTCTACCTGCGTGATCATCTATTTTCGATGACGCCCCCAGTACTTATTCACAACTATACCAAAAGGATAACTGTTCGACATTGCGTAGACCCAGCCGACAAGATGGCAGGCACCGGCAAAAGGGCATTGATTGTAGGCCCGGGGTTTATTGGACTCAACATCCTTGATCTACTGGTGCACGAGAACTTCCAGGTTATGAGAACTCCATGAAATATGTCCCAGCATTTGTGGGAAGCAACTTGCTCTGACCGGTGAACTAGGTCACTGGAATCGTCCGCAGATCGGAACATGCAGAGCAAGTCGAGCATCTGGGTGCCACATCTGTGATTGGGGATCTGGATGATGTCCCTCTCATAACTCAACAGGCAATCGAACACGACATCATCTTTCATACCGCCACAGCTGACCATATATCGTCTGTCGAGGCCATTTGTCAGGGAGTCGCCGAGCGCGCGAATCAAGGAAAATCAACCATATATATTCACACGTCGGGAGCGAGCCTGCTAGATGACCAGTCCCACGGAAATTATGAGACCAGCAAAATATACTATGACAACAAGCCCGAGGATATAGCTGCGCTCCCACCGACAGCACCACACCGCAAAATTGACCTGACCGTCGTCAACTGGGGAAAAAGATTGGGCGAGAAGGCCAAAATCGCGATCATAATACCTCCGATCATTTATGGTTATAACTCCAACCACAAACGCCTAACCATCCAGATCCCCACGCTCACTCGGTTTGCCTTGAAGCATGGCTACGCTGGATTCGTGGGTAAAGGACTCAGCGTTGAAAGCTCAATCCATGTATTGGATCTCGCGAGGGCTTTCATGGTTTTGTTACACTATATGGAGTCGTCTGATTCGCGGATATTCATTGAAAACCCTTATTTTTTCTGCGATAGTGGCCAGGATCACTCTTGGAGGTCGTTCGGCGAGATGATTGGAAAAGGCCTGCACAAAGCGGGTAAAATTGCTGATCCCACACCGAAGAGCATCCCCAAAGACATGTTTGGGTGGCTGTTTGGGGATCACACATACCCTGTAGCTGGCTTGAACTCGCGCAGCCGTGGCGTGAGATTAAGAGAGTTAGGCTGGGAGCCGAGTGAGTTAATTCCCAGAGCTCTTTTGCACGACCAAGTGACATCTGGCCCATAATATTGCTAATAGCTCACCAGGAGAGATTAGCATCTTCGATAGTTACGAGCAGTTCGAGCTGCCAGAAATCCTAAAGGAGGACATCAGCCACTTTAAAGGGTATCAGAAAGTGGCAGCATCATGATAGTCCTAAGGAACAGATATGAAGGCCATAAATCATGAGAGTACTGTAGAGCAGTGGTAAGCACCGAGTGATGAGTCAGCGAAAATGCTATGTGCGACGATTGTTTGGGGATATTATGATTGGCCACTCTGGTCCGACAACCTTGCTACTTTGTAAAAGTGTGCCTGTTGACGATCCTCACTTCTGCTATAGAATGCACAAACGAGGGTGTGGAGAGGAAAACGGTTTTGCAAGTCACTGGCTACGACTGTACTCTTGATGCACAAAAGGTGACGGGTCCTACCACGCACTATAGTGTATGTTATCGACTCTATTTCAGAAGTTTGGTATTGTTCACTAGTCAACAAAAGACGTCCTGGTCAGTTGTGCAGCTACATATTTCATTTCCATCGATTCTACAAATCCTCGCCTATCTCCTCAATTGCGCCTACGTATCTAGCTACGCATGGCTCTTCGTCGATACCCAAACGTAACGATCCTTCTCCGGTCGCAAACCAGCCAAGGGCATACGTCTTGGCGCGAGCCTGCAGCAACTTCAACCTCTTCCTTGGTGTGATGGAACGCGTGGTCTTCACATCCTCTATCAATCGACTGTTCAATACGTAGAGGAGAACTGAAGCGATACTGCCCGGGCTCCTGGGGAGACGTGCTTTCCGCCTCTTGATCCAAATACCGATCGCCGACATTGTCATGATTAATGGTATGCTGGCGGCGAGGCTAAGCGTAACCCAAAAGGTGACAAAGGTTGTTTCTTGTGTCGAGGTTTCGGTAGAGAACCAATAAATCTGGGTCACAATCGGATCGCTGACAGAGGCCACACAGACGACCAAGACTTCTGCTAGGATGCTATTGAGCCCTAACAAGGCCAGCTGGTAATGCTTTCGTCGAAGTGCCTCCAACGGGAGCACAACGATCGGCAGCCCGGTATAGTCCACAAATAAGACCGAAGGCGGTGCGTTTCCGCGCCACAGCTGGAAGTATGGTTCGGTGCCTCTGTGGAATACTTCAAACTGACCCCACAGAAGCTTATAGACGACAGCGAATGCCGTCCCGATCCATGGAACGGCCTTGAGAATGTCTCTGGCCCCAGTAAGTGACAGAACTACGGTCAGTACACTTATGACGATCCCTAGAAGGACCAATATGAAGACCAGGCTCTTCCCGGGCACACATCTTCGAGGACGAACGTTTTGGGGCTGTGGGACTCGGCCACTCCTCTCTACATCGCCGAGAGCTGTGATCTGCCACAAGCAGCCATTCCTAAGGGCAAAGTGTTCATGTGATAGCTTCGCGGCGATGTCCTGTCGAGTCGCGTGGACCCCCAGCTCCTCCAACTTTTCGAGGACATTGCCATCTGCGATCACAGACAAGACTCCGGCGATACCGTAGGGGCTTTCCGAGAGACCGGATGACTGCCTGAGTAGAAACTGTAATGTCACGCTGCAACAGGCGATGAGCACCAAGCTGACGGTGAGCAGCCTAGACCAGAGAGAGTGCACCTTTAAGCGGGTGATCTGGTGCGGGAATGTGAGGTGTTCGGTCGTCGTGAAAAGAGACGCGTTCTGTACGGGTGGAACCACCACTAAGGCCAGAACAGTGGCCAGAGCCGATGTCCATACTCTGGGCCCGGCCTTTATGGGATGTCGAAGATACCAGAAGTAATTGGCCGGGTTGCGGAGTAGGGATTCGCGGCCGGAGAGACCGCGCTGCCCAGAGAGGTCATAGAATGGCGCCAGGCGCATGACCTGGTGATCCGCCGTCGCTATCGCGATGCCGTAGAAGATGACGACCATGGGTGGAAGGTAACGCCAGCAAAACCACTGCGCGGCCGTCAGCTCAGACACGGCTTCGAAGGTGAGTAGGGAGCCGAATCTGGAGGATAGCCGATATAGCGTCTCTTGCCCGATACCCATAGCTAACGAGAGCAGAGTCATTGCTACAAGGTATGCATTTCGCATCGGCAAAGGCCTCCAGTTGTGCCTCGGCGAAGTCTCCCCACGGTCGCTATCCCGGTGGATCTGTTCGCTCTCCTTGTCGGGTGCATCTGGTAAAGTTTGAGCGTCTTCCAAATCAGCCGCGTGCTCATCGTTAGGTTCCCGTTCACCTGGCTCCGTTGGATGGTGCGAGTCAGCTGTTCCAGTTGCGAACTGTGGCAGAGCCCCAAAAATCTCGGCGCCGAAAGGTAAAGATGAGATTTCGACATCGATCCGTGGCTCCTGAAGACTGGATGGCCTCCGAGTCGATAGGGAGGCATGGTGAGAAGGCGCCGGAGGTGTCATCATCGTTGGGGAGACACTTATGAGCCCTCCACCGCAGTAAGGCTGGATGTTACCCTGTTACGATACCAATCCAGACTTGCTTCGAAGTATCCGATTTATTGGACTCTGAGTAGTGCACACCAACGGGGGAGGCGGCTTGTAGTAAGATCGCAATGGCAAACGCGATATCCGTAAGTACACTGAAGGGAATAAGGAGTGGAAAGATTCTTTTGAGGCTCGAGGCAGCGCTCGAGTGTTTCCTATCTCGCCGCGCACGCCGTCGCCAAACCATACGTCGTAGGGGCGGGTGGCGAAGCAAGGTTCAGCTGCGATCCGCGCGGAAGGGTGCGCCCAGCACCGCCTTCGAACCTCCGGTCAAAAGACTACTGGTACTCCATAAGGGCAGGGAATCTGCCCGATTCCCCAACTCTTGTCTGAAACAGATGCCTATCCGAGGCAAGTATAGCCAATCGCAAGGGGCCAGATTTGGCCCCCAGTGTATTTGCTCAGGTTGTGCTCAGCCAAGGCCCAAAGGGGACCCCTAAGCCCGAACTAGCGTCTGCGAATAGGCGATGGGCATTAAGCAGCGCTCCTTATAGCTCGCCCAGTGCTCGGGCGTGCCTCCCCGGTGCTCGGGCGTGCTCCCATATACTCGGCTACGCCTACGGGAGAGCATCGCGGGAGCTACGGTAGAGTACGGGGGAGCGCACCCAAGCAGTGAACGAGCCGTAGGGAGCTTGTCTGATGCCCGCTCTCAGAAGCCAGTTCGGGCTGGGTACCCAGTCTTTGGTGTTTCATATATTCGGGAAGGCGTCTAATCAACTTACGATGTTAATTTGTACGTAGCACTCTGTAGCGACTCGATAACTGTAGCAGCCAACGGCTGCTGGATCAAAGAAACGCGTGCAAGCCGTGTAAAATTCAAGTCTCTGTAACTGAGTAGCTAAGAGGAAGGGCTCTACGTCGCCGGGTTGCCAGGCGTCCATCTTCAATTGAAGGATGGGCCACTGCCCCATGATCACCAGTTGATTATTTGCATTGGAGAGAGCAAAAGTACACGCTGAATCTATTTCGAGGACGAACCGCAGAAGAACTCGTTCAAGGACGCATATCAGGACTGCGACGTCATGGCCATTGTGGAAGACAGCAACCCGGACCAGACCCCTGAGGCGTGCTACTCTTGTAAAATTGGATATCTGTGACGGTGATACTTATGGAATCGTCTACGAGATTCCTCGTCGTGTATATACCGATCGGGGGAGCTTTCAGAGGCAAAATGACACCGTTCGATGGGGAGAATGGCTTGAGAATACCCAAAAGTGGCTCATCAGCTAAGGAAGCCATGCGAGCTTCATTTTTCGGAGGCGAATCTGGCCATTTCGCTATAACCCAAAGCTCAATGCATCTTGATTCCACGCCATGCTTCAATGCAATCCTCGATTCAGAGGGTTTGGTGCCGTGCCCATTGCAATTCTCCCTGCTCAATACCTTCCTCAGTGCGTGGTATCCTCCCAGCCTTGCCACCCTCTTCCTTTGATCTCCTTCAACTCCTCCTCGCTATAAGGCTTACCCGTCGTGAAGTAGCCGGCATTGATTTTGGCGTCGATTTCGACTCTAGAATCCGCGGGGATAAGGTCTAGAAAAAAAAGGAAATGACATTGTTAAATTAGATTGAAGGCAAATTGGCGAGAGATTGGTTGAGCCGCCATGGAAGCTGAGGGAGAAAGAGAGAGAGATAGGGAAGAGAAAACTCACGGTCGGGAATGGGAACTCGCTCGTGGATTGGGATGCCTTGTTGTACTATCGCGTTGTACTTCATGTTGGACATGGACAGCATACGGTCGATCTTTTTGATGCCCAGCCAGTGCAGGATGTCTGGCATGAGAGCTTGGAAGCGCATCTGTGAGATTTGTTAGTACATGATGATAGAGATAGTGCCCCTGAACAAACGACAACATAGAACATATTAGGGAGGTAGAGAAAATGAAAAGCTTACATCTCTGACACCAGCAATGGCTTCAGTTCGTTGAAAATACTTATCGGCAGTGTCCCCTCCGCGTTTCCTCGAATTGTACACCAAATACTTGACCACTTCGCCCAAGGCACGGCCTTCCTTTCGGAAATAGATAACCACACCAGAGCCTCCGGCTTGTGCCTCCTTCAGGGCCTCTTCGATCCCAAAGGCAAGATATGGGCGACATGTGCAAATGTCTGATTGGAACACGTCGGAACCATTGCACTCGTCGTGGATGCGAAGGGCCAATTTGACGCTCGGGTCCGACACTCGCTCGGGCGGACCGAAGATGTAGACAGTCAGCCCACCGATCGGTGGCAGAAACACGCTCAGATCAGTTCTCGTAATGAATTCCGGGTAGCTCCCTCCAGTGTGCTCGAACAGGGCTCGCCGCAACGTGGTCTCGTCCACTCCAAAGCGCTCGGCCACCCCGGGGAGATACCACACCGGGTCGACTGCGACTTTGGTCACGCGCACATCGCCCGCGTCGTTGAGGACGATTTTGCCGTCCACCTGCAGTCTCTTTTGTCGTAGGGCGTCGGTGATCTCGGCCACGCGCATGGTGGCCCGCGTGATGGCGATGGTGGGGCGCACGTCCATGCCGGCTGCGAGGTGGTTGCCAAAGTACTTGACAATGTCGTGTCCGTAAGGGTCCATGGAGACGATCTTGGTCGGATCGGACCAGGCAGGTTGCGGGGCGAAGTCGAAGGTCGGTTGTGTGTTTGTGAGGTCTGGGCGGAAATCGCGCGTCAAGTCGCCAGCAGCCACTGCCAGTGCGTTGTAGAAGCTGTAACTCCCGCCGTGGGCGCCGATCGCGTTGCGTCGCTTGAAGCTGTCATGGCTTCGGGACACGATGATCGGCCCTCTTGTCTGGGGGTCTGCAGCGCCCCATTGTAGAGGAATCGGGTCGGCGACGCTCTGCCCCGGGTAGGTGGTCAGCACGACGCGATTGCTGTATTTCTGGGTCAGCGACAGCACACTCGACGAGCTGGCGCTGCTGGGTGTGCTTGGTCGAGAACGAGAATGCTCTTTCTCGTCGATCGCCGTAACTGTGGTCGTAACGCCGACCGCCATCTTGAGACGTGCAGTTTGTGTAGTCGTCGACCAGGGTGTCTTCGGTCTCTTGACGCTTCGCTCCTCAGACGATGGGTCGGGCTGGTCGAAGTCTAGGGAATACGCCGTGTTCAGCATTTGAGACAGTTCTAGCGTTGCGAATCATAAAGTATAAGAGGGCGATGGACTGTTGCGTCACACTTGGATGATATGGACGACAGCTGCTCTCGCCGTCAGATGGATCACAGAGAAAAGAGGGTGGATAGGTCATCTGGTGCCTGAAGCAAGACAAATTTGGTGAAGCTGTCGCCGCCATCTCTGATACCCCGATACTGCAGAACAATCTTTTTGTTTTCTGTTTTTGATCCCCATCATGGGTTGCAGTGGGCACTTTGCAGTGGGAGGGTTCTGGCGGGGATCTGTGGAGATGGCCGAAGACTGAAGCGATAAGCAAAGTATCTTCAGTCTTGTCAAAGAAGGTGGGTCCAGATAATACAATTCGGCTGAAGATACGCAAATAGAGCACATAGGGTGGCCTATTGCTCTCTGGGTCCATGGGTAGCGCAAAGATTCCGCAGTTATTCTGATAAGCCAGACTCCGCACCTTCTCGTGCTCGTCCATGGCTTTCCCGCTAAATTCAAGACTTGTGGCAGAGCGACCCTTACTCCTAACACTTAGGTAGTAAGTACTATGCCACCTCTTGGATTCTCTTTAGGTTTTGCGAGAGCGAAGGACTGGTATGGAAGTCCACGGTTGGTGTAGAAGTCAGCGCTAAATTCTGCATCTTGTGCAAAAACTGTGTATTCTATATCTTTCCATCCCTGGGCACACTCCTTGAATCGCAGCACCTTGTCCAAATTCCCTCGTCCGTCAGAAGAGCGTCCCATCACCAGCGATCAATATAGGGCTTGATCTGCTCTTTGGTCGCTTTGTGGCAGCCAGCTCGCGACCAGTTTTCCATGAGCCAGCCTCCAGCATTTGGGCCATACTAATAGTAATTCCTTGAGCTGCAAACTCCTTGGAAATGATCTCATGCAGTCGATCAAGGAGAGCAACTGTCATCGCCCGCCACTCGACAATCGTATCGCTAGTGGCGTCGTAGACGGGAAGAATTTGTCCAGATGCCCTTTGGCCCACACTTAGAGTATCTTCTTTCAGAGATAGAACACCCATGTCCACAAACAGACCTCCATTCCGATATTCAGGCAGCCCAGTGCCCAGCTCCATATTCTCCCACCTGGTATGCAGAATCTTCACAAACGGGGTCGTTAACGAATATGCAAGCCACTGAGTCAGCTTATGAAACGGCTGAATAGCTTCAGCCAGGGTATCGTTGGCATCGGACTGAGACTGTTGCGTAAGAACCTGAAGAGGCCAGGCATCTCCAAGAGGTTGATTTCCAAGGTGGGTTCTGTCTTTCGGCCATGCGGGAAGCAGTAGACGCTGCAGAGCTGACCAGAGGATAGTGTAGTCAAGAGCATCAGTTCCAGTAACCGAAGCGGTCATGTAGTCTAGGAAAAGGATTGACTTAGATCAGTATTCACATTGAACTGACTTTTGAAAGCAGAGGTTTGCACCACATACATACCCACAAGATTCCCTGGTCGCCCCTGAGAGCCGAAGATGTCGGACAAAGAGAGTAGAGATTTGCCAACGTCCCTCAAAAGCTGGATCCGAGCATGCACACCGACCATGGGATTGCTACTCGAGATCTGAAACCAAGACAGAAACCTTTCCTCGTCGAGGTCAAGCAATGCCCTTCCTAAATGAAGCGTTCCGTTAGCATTACAACAACACAATGCAAACCATTTCCCACAAAAATTCAAAACACCCACCATCCACAGTGCAAGGACATGCAGGGTTTGACGAGAACGCTCCCGACTCAAACATGTACAGCGAAGCTACCGCAATGCCTTCGGATCGGTTGTATACATGGTTTTGCGTGTCTGGCTCTTGAAAGCTCCAAATATCTCCAGCCCCTGCGTCGAGAAGGACCGACACCATGAACAGGTCAATTAAGACCCTCGTCTGTTCCTTGGGATCGGTCGTTTCTTTCGTCCGGAGCAGCATCCGGGAAATGCGGTCGACATTACCGACGTTGAAGTGCTGCCAACGCCCATGCGGAGGGATTTCATGATATCTATCGGGCCCAAAGTCGCGCTGCACATTCATATTGCTTAGTTCCAATTGCGAGAGGGCTGTTGCCTGTGTGGAACTTGAAAACTCACTGATATTGTCTGAGCCACCAAGCGGGCAGCCTCTGGGAGTTGATCGGCATTGTAATGGAAATGGTTGAGTGTCCCTCTCTGCGCGCACTCAAAAACACAATTGGCACGTTCCCTGACTGCTTGTAGTGATACTAAGTATTCAACTTCCGACACCATGTTTATGGAACCTGATAATCTGTATGCCAAAATCTTGAGGAAATTTGTAACAGAATAAAAGATTTCTATTGTGTACGCTTCTACTTCGTCCTCCTCTTCCTCCTGCTCTTCTTCTCCACACAACGTCCACACTCTTAGAGTAGCTTATATACGGTATGAGCTTAAAAGATCCAAAATGTCAACGTCGTCAGATGAAAAGTGCAAACAGCATCCGATTGTTGCGCTCCTGTAATGACAGGCGACCACCACCCAGAGCTCTCTTTTTCTTGGTTAGTCGCAGCGAACCAGAGTCGATACCGAACCACAGGATAAGGAATGACCAAGTCAAATCGTCCATGGGACTATGGACAGTGGGCCCTCTCTAAAGGTCTTCTACCCCACACTCCATCTAATTAAAAACGATCGGCCTGGTTCGGATTGTGGGACCTTTTGAACTGGAGAAGCAACATGATCATGGTGATTGCTTATCGCGAATCTAGCATCGTACTGATATAAAAGAATGTGGGTCTGGAGGGTGGGTGGGTCAGTCGCGCCACTGCTATCTCTAGTCTCTAGAGCCTTCCCAACGGAACAATTGAATCCAGAACATGATTGGGGTGGCAATGAGTGGGTACAATTAGGTACATTTCCACGAAATAGAGAAGGAGAAGGTGATCTTGTCCATTTTGCCCAAAAAATCGAAGGCTACTGCAAACCATTTTTGACCAGGTGTAGAGATTGCTCATGATATCTTCGGATTCAGAACTCTAGATCTTGGTTGATGAACCCCCATTGTTTGAATCTTTGTTCCACAAATCCAAAGTTACTTGGTTTCCCTCTGCCGGCCTGCATGTAGGTGCAGAGAACAAAAAGGGACTCGCAACCCAAGCAATATACCCTTCTCAGAAAGCTGGAGTGAATACAGACAGGGCAGCGTTAGCAACACCGCCAAATTGCGATTTAATTTTCAATCCCAAGATGACAGTCGACCCATCCAAGTCCCAGTCCAAGATGTCCTACGCAACAAAGCTGTCCCAACTCCGCGATCCCACGCTTCCACCCCGCGAAGTCCGCCGGCTCACATCCGAATTGACCACCATGCTCGCCGAGACGGCCATCGAGCCTCCTTCGGTCAACGAGATAGTGGTGGTTGTGGTCATTCTGCGATCGGGAATGGCCATGATGGACGCCTTTCTCGCTGCGCTCCCTCCCAAGGCAAACGTAATCGTCCACCATCTGGGCATTTTCAGAGACAGAAAAACACTCCAGCCCGTCGAGTACTACAACAAATTGCCGCCCCGATCCGGCAGGATCAGACATGCTTATATCCTCGACCCTGTCGTTGCCACGGGCGGTACGGCCGAGGCGGCTATTCAAATCCTCAAGTAAGTGACAAGGCTTTTCTACAGCTCGCCGAGTTGCCTCACAAAGTAACAGAGTCTTTTTTTTCTCTTCCTTTTCCTTTTCCTTTTTCTTTGTGTCTATCCATTTGCTAACATGCCGTGTGTTTTCCTCTTCTAGAGATTGGGGAGTCGAAAAAATCACCTTTGTATCCATTTTGGCCAGTAACCCTGGGCTGGACAAAGCCGCTTCCAGCTGGCCTGAAGGCACGAACTTGGTGGTAGGCGCCGTCGACTCGGATCTGGACAATGCAGGATACGTTCAACCTGGCATCGGAGACATAGGAGACCGATTGTTTGGAACAAATTTGGATTGAAAATACTAAAGATGGATCATGAAACAGAACAGGCTATAGCAGTACGAATAAGAACCAATTCTTGATTTTATACTCGAGAACCTCTCTCTACTTGTGAACATGAAACCAATTTGTTCACTCGATTCAGTAATAACCGTTAGTGCCTTTCTCGGCTTTCGATTTCTCAACCCAGGCGTGAAAAATCAAAAGATACAACTCATAACCATCCCCCTCCCAAAGAATAGTTTCGTTACATCATGCTCGCCGCCTTTGTGGCTTTTTGCCTTCAGATGGGGAGATATGGAGTATATCTCAACTGCCCAGTGACAATTGGCAACCTTTTTCCAATCACCGCCACAGCGCTGTGACAGTTTTGGGCATTGTGAAGAACTGCCAAGGGCTCCGTCCACATACATTGTCTCCCAGGAATGAGTCTTTGTTTGCTGTTCTTGCAACAGGACCCGAGGCCGCCAGGACCGGAACATTAATTCCAATCTGGCCTATGTTTATTTTGCGCTGGAAGGTCTGAGCCTGGACAGGATCGGTCGTAAACAGTGAGCATCCGTTGCCGTACCTGTTCTCGTTTGCTATCTCGATGGCCTCGTCCAGGGTGTCCACCTCGATGCACACGAGGACAGGCCCAAAGATCTCGTCCTGGTAGCACTGCATAGACGTCTGCACTTTGGTGATGATGGTTGGCCCGACAAAGTTCCCCTCGGGGTATTCGGGCACGCAATAGTTTCGTCCGTCCAGCACGACATGGGCGCCTTCGGCTTCGGCAAGGTCGATCATGTCTTCCACTCTCTCTTTTGCAGCGGCCGTGATCAAGGGACCGACTTCGGTGCCAGGATCAGAACCGCAGCCGACTTTGAGCGACCCGGCCAGCTGGGCAAGATCGTCGATCCATGCCTTGGTCGACCCAACGCAGAGCATGACACTCAGCGCCATACACCTCTGGCCCGCGGCCCCAAATGCGCTTCCGGCAATGGCATAGAGAGTCTGTGTCTTTGGCGCATCCTCCAGAACGATCCCGTGGTTTTTCCCACTGACTTCGACTTGTATTCTCTTTCTGGTGGCTTTGGCATGCTCGTAGACTCGTTCTCCAGCGAGCTCGGAACCCACAAAGGACACCGCGCTGACGACAGGCTGCGAGAGCAACTTGTCCACGGCCCCCGATGATCCGTGAATGATATTTACCACCCCAGGGGGAAACCCCGCCTGCACGAAGCATCTCCCTAGAAGGTTAGCAGTCGAAGGGGCCTTTTCGGAAGGTTTCAAGACCACTGTGTTGCCGGTGATGACCGCGTAGGGGATCGACCACAGAGGGATCATAAAAGGGAAATTAAAGGGAGTGATGACCACGCAGACCCCGACGGGCTGGTGGATCGTGTAGGTCTCTGTCGAATTGGTGGTCCAGTGTTTGCCATTCATCTCGGCCGTGGCTGAGCACGCAGTGTGGATAGCATCAATTCCTCTCTCGAATTCGGACTCGGCATCCTGCAGTGTCTTGCCCACCTCGAGCTGTAGTGACTGTTGAAAGTCGACAGTGTGCTGCTGCAAAACATGCAGCAGGGAAAAAAGCATGGCTTTCCGTTTCGCTATAGGCAACGATGCCCACGCTGACTGCGCCGCTTCCGCCACCGTCACGGCTTTTTGGATCTCTGCTGGAGTTGACTCCGGCACCCGGGCGAGCAGCTTCTGTGATGCAGGATCCAGTACCTTCATCCAGACTCTCGTCTTGGACACGCCGAATTCATTGTTGATCAGGTTTTGGGTTGTGGTAGGCGGTATAGGCAGGGCCATGGTGCTAGTGCTTTGATTCAAGGGCACGGTCACCCTGCTGGGGTCGCTGGTGCCTAATCGGGTGCTTGTTTCATCGCTGCGACGTCTCTTGTTCCGATGGTGATGGTTGGGAGAGTAGTCACCAGCTGTGTCATCCTTGCTGTCGACTACTAGAGACAAAGGCTGCTCTAACAATGTCGCCACAGTCGTAACCGTTGTTGCAGAGATTTGGCCTACCATTGTGTATCATTGGTATCAAGCCTGACACAAAGCCTGCCAAACCTACTTTCAAGCCTTCGATCTCTTGATAGCAGTTATCACTATCAAAAGATTTAAGCGAGCGACAGACCACAGATTGTACGGTTGGAGTGTAAGATAAGACAAGATGGGGAGAACAACGTGTCAAGGATATGATATTATGGAGTTCGTCGAATTGGGATCATGGCCAGACCTTTGACTTGTTCTCCATCTCCTTTCCTTCCTAAAAGCGTTGCCAAGAGTATTCATACATTCATCCGGGATCCCGGATCCACTTGATGGAGGCGTCAGTGCTATCTATGATATTAACCCGGGGAGGATCGCAAAACTCCGCGAAAGCTGGGCCAAAGCGGGTCCTTTGTTGTCCGGGATTTACCAATTAGAAATGAGAATAAATGCCCAATGGCATCAAATCGATCAGGAAACTGACAGAGTGGGCATGAAAGGTTCCTGGAGATGTCCTAAACAAGGTGCACTGGGAGTGTGAATTGTATACTGTATGCTGTATACTGTAGAATTGTAATCGCCAGTGCTGAGACATCCTCTCACCGATCCTCTCATCGATTTCGGCTCACCCAACGTGTTGATCCTAATCCATTCTTCCGGTCTTGCATTGTCTCTGTACCAGTGATCTACCAGGCATCTGCTATCTGCCTTTCTAATTAAACAAAAAGGAGATGCTGCATTGATTTCACTCAGCTTGGAGAATATTGTTGCCTAGAAAAAGGGGTATACTACTTACGATTCACCGTGGTGTGTCCGTCGAATTGCTTCTGCAATGATGCCACTGACGTCGATGGACTCGATTTTTGGACATTTTTGAGCGGTCGGTGATAGGGGAAGGGTGTTTGTGACCACGAGTCTCTCCAAAGAGCTCTCCTCGATCTTCTGGATTGCAGGACCTGAGAGAAACCCATGGACAACGACGGCGCGGCAACTGATGGCACCGTGGTCCTTCAATACGTCCGACGCCATGATCAGGGTGCCACTGAGTGCGTAGTTAGTAGAGGTCCGCCGGACCCCCCAGGAAAAATGAAAATGAAAAGGATTAGTTGCATGAATATCAAGAAAGACTTACCATGTGTCCGCGATGTCGTCAACAAGAACGGCAGTCTTATTGAGAACCGATCCAACCAGAATCATACGACTGACTTTATTGGCGACTTTACGCTCCTTGTGGATGAGGGCTAGATCAAGACGTAGCTTGTCCGCAATGATAGCAGCTCAGTGACAACGTAAGCCTCTTTTGTTTGCATGTTTTTTCCCCATTAACTTCTGGACTGAGACTCACCTCTTTGCACCACCCGCGTCAGGAGACACAATGACGACGTTGTCCAGGGGCATGTTACCTCGAATGTAATCGACCATGGCACTCTCGGCGTAGAGATTGTCCACAGGGATATTGAAGAAGCCTTGGATTTGTGAGGCATGCAAGTCCATGGTTATCACATGATTGCAGCCGGCTGTCTCAAGCATGTTGGCCACCAGTTTGGCCGTGATGGGAGCTCGGCTGCGGTCTTTCTTGTCTTGCCTCGAATAAGGGAAACAGGGGAGCACGGCGGTGATCTGTCTGGCGGAGGCAGTCTTGCAGGCGCTGATCGTAATTAATAGTTCCATGAGCATGTCGTTGACTGGTTCTGCCGCTGTCTGGATGATAAACAGATCGGCGCCGCGGACCGAGTTTTCAATGACAACACTGGTCTCGCCATTCGAAAACCGCGATGATGTGAGTTTTGTGGACGGTGAATCCTCCCCCAGCCTCTGGCATACAAGGTCGACGAAGTCTGGATGACTTCCTCCTATATTCGTCCCATTCAATCTCGGTTAGCGACATCTTTCAACACGTATGGTACGGAGTACCGGTGTCAGAGTAATAATACTGACCACTAAGCACTTGAATGGACATTTTGGGATACAGAATTTCATCTAACAACACTTGTTACCGCGAAAGAAGATTGGTGTCTGCAAGAGGAACACTGAGCAGGTCGGATACCCAGGGAGAATGCGTGCTCCCAGACCTACAACTCAGGCTCCTCAATGTATCAGTGTTGGATTTATCATTCCCCTTACGCCTAAATTACAGCCACCAAGCTGTTGAGTTATTACTTCTATTTCCATGTCCTATGTCCCAGGGCGCACAGCGTCAGCCTAGAAACAAACAGTCTGACCCGCTCAAGTAGGTGCTAGGTACAAACTAACCGAACCACGAACACTGTACTTGGAAGATAGTTGAATTCCTCTATAATGACCAAGTTACCAATCTCGTCCATACTCCAGCGGAGATCTCGTGCTTACGAAGGTCATCTGGGGTGGACCCATAATAGATAGATACTCGGTAGATAAAAGATACTTTAAACGATATAGTACGTGGGGAATTTCAGAACTTTCAGAGGGCCTCGCATTGTTTATCTGAGATCTCTCTCTTCAGATCGGAGGTGGGGAACCTCCCGATATGTAATCTACAGGTGTCGATAAGAACTGTATGCCTATTCCCCAAGACTGGATCTACCGGTACGATAGGGTTGTTTGTTAAGTCGGCCACTTGACGCCCCGATGCTCACATGCTAAATCCTGGCGCCTCAGGACCTAGACTCCAGTCTCCTACCATAGGGCTTTCAAGAATAACACATGTGCGATCCAACGTTTGATTTTCCCGCTTCGAGAATGCGCAACACCATGGAGAATTGCGTACTCCTGCCACAGAACCATCAACTCCTAAGTTCCATGACCATTCTGCGCAATCAAAACACGAAGGACAAGGACTTTATCGATGCATTTGCAGGAGTGGCTGCGCAGCTCATGGCCAGAGGTGAGGAAGAGACCGCTTGATGAGATTTACTCTGGCTGTTGTCCAAGTTCGTGCTCAGCCATCTAACGAGTTTGTTTTTCTCCTGCAGCGTTGGATTTCGTCCCAGTCGAATGTCAACAAGTGACAACCCCGACAGGAGGCACGTACCAGGGCGTGCGACAAGCAAAGAAAGTCTGTGGCATCAGCATCCTAAGGGCAGGGGCCAGCCTGGAAGATGCTCTGAGAAATGTTTACAAGTATGTGAATACGAATTTGCCCGCTATTTTTCCAGCTCGACCAGCAAACATCCTCCCTTTTCCTCTTCCCCCCAAAGGGAGGTGAAAGCGAAAGTGCATATCCATACTGACCATATCTTTGCGAATTAAAAAGTGGTCCTTTGAGCTTCGGAAAGCTCTTGATCCAACGAGACGAGAAAACGTGCCTCCCAACACATCTGTACTCCAAATTTCCTACGTCGATTTCGGACGCTTGTAGGGCTTCAACCACGACCAAAACGTGTGTGCGATCACGTTGCTGACTTAAAGCAGATGTACTGATTCTTGAGCCAATGCTTGCGACTGGAGGCTCAGTGAGTAAAGCAATCGAGCTTGTCCTTGAACAGCGTGTGCCGGAGGAACAAATCATTGTTGTCAATGTAATAGCTTCAGCGAGGGCAGTCAGCCTGGTCTCTGAACGGTTTCCGAAGTTGATGTTGGTGACAGCGGCTATTGACAAGGATTTGAATTCAAAAAGGTTTGTCGATATCATATATGCGATTTTATCAACTTGTCGACTTCGATCACTGACAAAATACCGACTCTACAGGTACATCGATCCAGGACTTGGCGATTTCGGGGATCGCTTTTATGGTACCTGAAAGGATCCCCCAGAAGGGCATGGAATGTTGGAAGTTGCTACAGCTGAGACGAGCTCCATTTTGTGAGGACGGTGGAATCGGAAAGCCGACGGTTCGACGCAACCAACTGTACTTTTTTACTTTCGGAAGATGAGACTACCGATCCTCGATATAAATGAAAACTGTCGCCTCGACCAGTGTCTCAATGTTTTGAAAGTATAGGCTTGATATAGGCATGGTATTCGCAGCTATCTCCTCTGCCATGAATACGCACTTCTCCGCCTATATGCTTCTGACCTTGTCTCTACCTTCTTCATTTGCAGGCATCCATGGCCATTCAGTTCAATCATCAGACCAGTGGGACTCTGATAGAACTTTCGAGAATTAGGCATTGTTACTGATGCTGCAAGAAGGTCCAGTTGTTCTTACAAAATGTCGTTTACAGGCAGGAAAGTATCAAAATCTATCTACTTGCTCTAGCATCCCTCGGCTTCTAATAGGCGTCACCATAATTGTGCACTGGGTCACAAACAGCACATTCTTCATCGAAGGACTCAACATCCCAATGTGAATCACATCGGGCCTTTAATGCTTGAACACCTCCACACTAGACTGCACCTCGCTGTCCTTTGTATCAACAACAACGCTGGCTTCTGAATCTCCCTTGGCCTGTTCATATGGATCAACACCATTGATCATAATCGATGGAACGAGGGCCGCGTCTCCTATTTCATTCCAGCTCTTGTTATATGCAACTTTGAAAGGTCCGAATCTGCACATCAGGTAGTATACCCCTCCACTTACGAGAACACCCATAAGGAAGTTGAACTGATCTGAACGTTTAGAGAACGATTAGTATTTATCGTCCTTAAAATGGAAGACCAAGAAAATGGAAGCAGATCTTGCAAACAGGCGTAGGCTTACACAAATACCAGGCACCAATCGGTATTGATGCACCCATGGCTCCGGCAACACCAACGATATTGAATATCAATCCGCATCTGTGAGAATCATTAGGTTCTGCGGCTGAAGAGCAGGAGATGAAGTAACCCACAGGTACCCCACGTAAGCGTTGATGCCAAACCCACCCAAGCCCCAGTAGAGATCGGACGATTTATTGGAGTACAACTGATCAACTGCAAGATGGCCTCGGCGGACGATAAAATAATCACAGAAATAAGGTCCGACGAAAGCAGAAAGGAAGACACTGTAGGCACCGACGTATGCTAAGAAGTTGTTGCTGCTGGATAAGAGTTTCCACGGCACGCAGGCAAAAGACAACACTGCTGCAACATAGCCACCACGTCCTGGGTTATGTTAGTCTTTTCTGTCCAGATT